TTGCATATCAGAATCCCTCCGCAGGTGAATATTTTAAAGGATAAGTCCAGTATAGCATTAGCATCCTGGATAATTTCAATACCCATAGCAACCTGGATTTCAATATCCATAGATACAAGCAGATACGGGCTTACGCAGGCTAAGATCTTCCTCAGTGCTACAGAATATGTGACCCGCATTTACATCTATGTGATGAGACTGGTTTATCTATTTGCGAATGAGTTATCCATTAGAAAAACTTAACACTACCTATTCAAACTGTGACCCTGCCTTTTTACCTGCAGCCAACAACAGGAAATGAAAAGCAAAGAGAAAAATGAGACACCAAAATAAAATAAAAATTATATTCAGCATAACTGTTTTTCTGTTGTCTTCCCTGTATAATGACACATAAATAATAATAATTAAAAAAAAAGATAAAAGGTAGAAAAAAAGAAATATATCAACTAAAGTAACTGCCTATTTTGTTTAAAGCCTGGGACCACAATTATGATGTATATAAAAGATGATGCAGATATGTAAATGATGTCAAAGAAAATGTACACTGTACTCACCAACATCACGAGTGTACCACGACTAACACATAAGCATGGCAAGAGACTGGGAGTTCCTGAGTACAATCTCGGCTACCGCAATTGTTCTGCTGCTAAGTTACAGACCACCGAGCCTGTTTCTTTCTGCGACTGGTAACATTTAAATGCTGCAGAGCGAAGCAACTGGGTTTGCTGTCTTTAATGGATGTTATTAGAGATTACTGGTGAATGGCCTTCTCCTGGACGAAGCAGTGTGCCATGGGCCTGCCATGTGTGAATACTGTACCATCTTAAATGCTGTCATATGTTTAAACATATATTACGTCCTCTACTCCTGGTTGAGGAGTTGAATCTGTGCTATATGGTGACATATTGCCATCTCTGCTGGTTTACAAGCTTTTTAAAATTGCATATGGTGCATTATAACGAGGGCTGCGTCGTAGGCAGGTGCAGCCTTAGGTATTTCAGTTGTCATTAGAATGTGGAATAAAACTGGCTCTTAAAGAGCACAATGTCCCACAAACTGAACTACTCTGGTGACATCAAACACCACAGAGGTTTAGGTATATCCGGTCTGGAAGGCATAGTTCCTGGAAGAGGAGTCATGGGTCAACCAGCACTAGAGCAAGTCCAGTTTAGAGACACCTAGGGCTAAAAATACTACAAGTCGTAAAACTGGCAAAAGACTGTGATGGACTGTGTTGGGAGCGGTGTTCTGAAGAATGACAATCTGCATAGTGGTGACAGTGACTCTCCTTTTGTTGCAATGGCTAATTATTTCCTCCGATTGCAGGAAACATGTGCTAATCTTGCACAAGATGCAACATGCTTATTAACTGTAAAAGTTTACATTTCTGCATTTTGATGATGGCAAGTCTTCTATGGATGTCGTAGTTACTTAATCCTCTGATGACAGGAAACTTATGTGCAAGCGTACAATAGGCTTGATATTGAAAACATTTACACATATCAGTGGAGCTCAACTGCCGGGTTATTCATAACCACATGAAAACCTAAACACATTTCTTATATCAGCTACTTCTTGACATTCTTCTGCTAACTGCCCCATTTCTGCAAGATGCAGGTGATGATGGCTGTAGACTTCATGGTGTTAGCACAGCTGACAGATGAGGAAAAAAAGCTGGCCTATATGCACTGGAATTAACACATCAGCTGAGCAAAATCGCGCAGAAGGCATGGATGATTTTTATTACTATTTCCATGGCACATTACTTTTGATTCACTCGAGGTGACAAACTGGCAAAATGAAAGAGCCATGGGTTGTTTCTGGACATTTTTATAAACAATTAATGCAAGTATTACAACCATCCGGCCTTTGAAATGAAATGCCTTTTAAATTTACTTCACATATTTTGAAATTATGAATATTAGGAACCTGGTTTCTATACTTTCCTTGTGATCGATATTTGTCAAAAATAAAGATCTGAAGATCATCCACAATTCTGTAGATTGTTGAAATAAGATGGTCGTGACCAAACATGTTAACATACCAAATGATGAAAGTAGCCTTGCTTTTCAGCTGATGCGATGTTTCTTGTTTATCAGCAGACACAATGTCCCTTCTTTATCAGCTGATGCAACACTTCTGTTCTCCACAGACTTTCCTAGAAGCAAGTTTTGGTAATACTTTTCAAACAGGCATATAGACTTTCCTGGAAGTATATCCGTAAACTTTCCCACAATTCTCAGTATCCGACATGCTGAGACTGATGTGCAGGACACCTGAAGGTATGTGCATGAGATATCCTGAAATCTGTGCACAGGACGTCTTGAGACTGGTGTATGGGACATCCTGGAATCTGTGTATGGGATGTCCTGAGATTGATGTATGGAATAGAATTTCCTGAAATCTGTGTATGGGATGTCCTGAGATTGATGTATGGAACAGAACATCCTGAAATCTGTGTATGGGATGTCCTGAGATTGATGTATGGAACAGAACATCCTGAAATCTGTGTATGGGATGTCCTGAGATTGATGTATGGAACATCCAGAGACTGGTGCATGGGACATCCTGAAATCTGTGCAGTGGATGTCTTGAATCCGTGCCCTGATTCTAATCAACTCTGCTAAATAATGAACCAACCAGGGCACAGGTTATTTGTGCAGTAACTTCACCGAACTACCAAGCTCTATTCCATGCGCAAGGTTATAGAAGAATTTCACATCCTTCAATAGAGCATAAAAAGCTGCACAAGTGAACAAATCTAATCTTTCTCGTGAAGCCAGCAATGAGAACACACTGTAGTGAGAAATGCTGCAAGAGCTCCAGTTTTAAACTCATAAAAATCAGATACATCGTGATTATCAGACACGAACAGTTTACTAAGGAATGACATGATGTAAAGAGAGATTGAGTAAGATATAACAGGATATAGCAATGCACTGAACAACAACAGATGGATGAACAGATGGAAAAAAAATAAGATGTGATAAATGGATTGATTGCGAAAAATATGATGTTAAGGGTGACTGTACTGAATAAAAAGATAAAGACGAATTAATGAATGAACAGAATTAGCAAGATGTGCTGTAATGCATGGATGGAGAAAGCAAAGTATGATGCAACCGATTTAACCGAACGCACTAAAACACATACAGGTAAGTTGATCAATGGATGGATTTAACAAGACGTAATTGTGATTTGTCAGTTCTGAAGCAGAATAGAATACATAGATGTTCTCAACAAAATATGATGTATACGCGGGGAATTAAACAAGTAAAAAATGATCAGATGGATAGAAAGACAAGTTTTACGTGACTGAAATTTTCTGAATGCATATCATGGTTAGCTTAATAAACTGGACCAATTATGGCCAAATGATGATGATTGTCAGATGCCTGGACTACTTGACACGATACAATGTGACGGCACGACGGAGATAAACATGTGGATGGGACAAGACCAGAACACTGATCTCATCCGTGATTCTGGTGATCGTGTGAGATGGCAAACGATAACAGTTTATCAACACATCACATGAAGATGATGAAGTTATGAGTGGACATACTGAAGAAGACATGGATGAATATACAGTTGTAATTAAATACCTAGAAGAATGTGATCAAATAACAAAAATGATTCTACGAAATCATACATGTTTACAATACACTGTATATAACGCTCAACATAGATGGACAGAAAGTTGATTAATGAAGGCTATTAAAAAAAAACGATGTTACAGTAGGACAGACAAATGTGTTAAAAAATAATACATGTTATATATATATTTTTTAAACACTCATAGCAAACACCAAATAACTTCAGAAAGATAAATAAATGAATAAGAATGCTTTTAAAAAGAAAAAAAATATTACACAGAAAAAAAGTAAAGATGAGACAATTTTTTTTTTAAAGAAGAAATAAACGAATAAAGCTAATTTCACAAGAAATGGTATATGAAAACCACGAGGAGAAATCAACACAGCAATGTTATTCTTATTATTTACCCATCATCTGAAAATACTTCAACACACTGTTTGAAGACCAGTTTTCCGAAACATTATAATTACACTTGTTTGTGGTCATCTCTTAGGTAATGTTGTAAATGACTAATAAACCAGCATTTGACTCCCTGATTGCTTTATCTCCCCTGTATTCTAGCACATGTAAGAGAAGGTCTTCAATTTCGGAGTTTAGGCAAAGTGAGAGTCTCCAAGGAGTACTCACTCCTACACATCCCACAGAAAAAGATCAGTGGTATATTTAATGTTTACATCTTGTTTAAATGCAACATGTGGGACTCCCAAGTTCACGCACATCCACAGCAGGCCGATGAATCGTAGCAGGAAACCAGAATAAAAATAACATGTCAATGTTAGTTCTATGTCGACCATCATCCGTTTGGAAGAACAAGATATTTTCACTGCCAAAATCCTCTCATGGAGCAGCTTGCATCAATTACTGCTGTCAAACATACTAACATAAAGCTTCATTTAAGTAAGCAGAGGGAAGGATTCCAAGCTTCCTTCATGTTCTTCTCTCCGTCAATAGCACCAACACTTGACACATGCTCAAGTACTGCGATAGGAAAACGGCGGTGTGACCGAACGTTAATTATACTTATCAATCGCATTATGCAGTTATTACCAGCCAGAATTGTATACAGTTATTACCAGCCAGAATTGTAAAGCTTCAAAACGACAAGAAACGAATCTAAATTTCTCATACAGCCTAAAGGGGAACATGCTGGGGTCACTAACAGTTTTGCAAACATCACAACCCATTTCAAGTATTTTATGCAAAGGAAATCTGCATCACAGTTTGAAGCGGCCCTATTACCATTGCTGACGCCAAAAGACCAGCAGTGGAGAAGCGGACATGTCAGTTTCTCTTGTGGCTTCTGCAACTTCCACTAGACTAGCTTCCTGAACCTCTCATGGAGGGTATCAGCTTGAGAGTACAAGTTATCAACAACTACAAATGAAAGAGGGGGTAATAAACACCTGTCTGGCGTGAACTTCCATGCACTGAGTTCGTTTTGTTTTTGCTTGAGTTTTTCCTTGTGCTCGTCCATCTCTTTGGCCATGCGCTGGAACACGAGGTTAATGGCTGGGTCAAGCAGCATTGAGCGAAGCTGAGCTGTGTTCTGAGTCTGTGCTTGCTTCATTTCCTGTATTTGATTCTGAAACAGCAAGAAAAAAGCTGAGGAGGGCACCGGTGGCAGCAAAAAAACAGTTAAGGAGGGCACCGGTGGCAGCAAAAAAAGATGAGGAGGGCACCGGTGGCAGCAAGAAAACAGTTGAGGAGGGCACCGGTGGCAGCAAGAAAACAGTTGAAGAGGGCACCGGTGGCAGCAAGAAAACAGTTGAAGAGGGCACCGGTGGCAGCAAGGAAACAGCTGAGGAGGGCACCGGTGGCAGCAAGAAAACAGCTGAGGAGGGCACCGGTGGCAGCAAGAAAACAGTTGAGGAGGGCACCGGTGGCAGCAAGAAAACAGCTGAGGAGGGCACCGGTGGCAGCAAGAAAACAGCTGTGGAGGGCACCGGTGGCAGCAAGAAAACAGCTGTGGAGGGCACCGGTGGCAGCAAGAAAACAGTTGAGGAGGGCACCTGTGGCAGCAAGAAAACAGCTGAGGAGGGCACCTGTGGCAGCAAGAAAACAGTTGAGGAGGGCACCTGTGGCAGCAAGAAAACAGTTGAGGAGGGCACCGGTGGCAGCAAGACCCAAACAACAGTGACAACCCCTGCGGGCATAATAACTTTTTGTCTTCGTTATTTTATAATTAATTACTCTGAAATCCTTATCTGTTGTATTAGCTTTTTCCTTCTGTTATTTAAAGGTTGCTTACATGAAGGTGACAGCTTTACCAATTTAGAGTCTAGCATCATACACCCAACAAACTAATGGCATTTAGTATATACCCTTTATAAAATACTGTTCATTAAGTCTTGTTTTGTTTTGGAATGTCTTCACAAAAGAGACTGGCTGCAGTGAGTATGAGCACCTACAGCTGTCCCTGTCTCTACATCCCATTACATATTTCAAGCCAGGTGAATGGCCCCATACTAGACAATATAAAATGGTCCTGAAGAACTTGGGTTCAAAGCCATGCCACCTGTCTAGTACAGTGTTCTGGTTGACGGCAGAAACAGCTGATGGTCTGCCAAAAATGTCTGCACGTTTCTATTTAAGTGAAAAAGTCTTTCTCATATGTGAAAGTAATACAAATGAACAAAAAAAAAAATCACTCAGATGTTACTGCAGCTCTTTGTCTATCAGAATGATTTGATTTAAGAACCGACATCACAGCACTCGGGGCATTCCCATAAGCGCTCCGCTACCATCTTCAGCAGCCAGCGAAGAGTTCCGATACTAATGGTACTAGTAGCATTCTGATTAAACGTCCATCTTGCCTTTCCTCTGAGCCTCGAGCATCTGCCAGAACCTCTCGGCACTCCCCGCTGCAATAATCTCCTCAGACTGTGGTGATCCATCATGCTAGGCTCTCCTGCACCAAACGTCGACCATTAACTTTTGCTAAGAAGCCCCAAGCACTTCTTTTGCCTCTTGACACTGAACCGTCTGTGTAAATGATCAAATCCTCTGAGCGAGCATCATCTTAAATTATTTGCTGAATTTCCACTTCTGTGGCACCTGCTGGCCAGTCTCCGCATTCCCGGCTCAGCATGATTATGACTACACAAATCTGACTGTTCAAGTGGCAATCTGACCCACTCTTCTCCTCGCCTAATGTTCTCAAGGATGCAAACCTGTCTGATTGTGTCTTCTGCCTGAGCCATCCATGACCTCCCTCTTATCAGCCGCTGACCCTTAACTGCACCAAGAGCTTCATGCAGAGGGTGGTCTGTGTCTGCAGCTACCCTGAGATATGACTTCGCCTGCAGCACCATGTGCCTACCTGCGACCGTCGGCAAACCAAGGATGTATCGCATACATATCACTGGGGTGTCTCTGGTGCAACCCAGAAACAACCCTCCAGATAAGGTATATCAGATTTTCAAGCCTCTAAGCAGCAGCAGATGTCATATTTGCTGAAACCAGTAATTCTGTGACACCTGAGTTTAAAAAAAACAAACTGCTATCTACATCTGCTTATGTTTCTATTGGTTGTGTTAGCTGCCAGGTGGTCCATGAATCCTGTGCTTTGCTGGTCTGCAGGTGTAAAAAAAAGGTTGAAAAACACTTGGTCTAGTATGTCCTCCTGCTGGTCTAGTGGCTGTAGGCCAATTCTACATGTGCAGGCCTTGCAGGGGGCTAATATATCATCACCACTTTATTACATTAATGACATCTCTACAATGGAGATTCGTCATGTTCAACCAGCTTTCTAAAAGAAACAGCTTTTGGTTATAATTGTGAGTAGGTTATGTGCACCATATATATATATATATACACACACACAGTGTCCAGCGACGATTAGCCATTTTCAACATTCTGGATCATGAATAAACTTAGCTGACCAGCCCAGGCCAAAAGTTCCCCACCTGTTTTTTTTCTCTCTGTAATACATACCATACAGTCCTGAAGTTCCTGTTCTTTATTTGTCAGCCTCATCACCAGTGTGTGTTCTCGTCTCGCTGTTTCTATGTTTATAGGTTTTGCCTTGACCTCCTCTTCTTTACCATCATCATCATCTAATGATATAACGAAAGTCATTAGGAACATAAGATGTATGTATGTGTCTGTGTGCATGAGAAGACAGGAGCAAGAGAAACAGTGTGGAATATAGCCTAATGTATTTATTTAATTTTTCTGTTTTTAATTAACTCTTGTAACATGATAGAAACCAAACATTGTTATTAACTGTATTTAATGTTTTAACAGAACGGTGTCTGCTAGCAAAATCTATTATTTATTAACGGACTGTTGTGTAGTGACTAGATTCTCGCCTGCGGATCTGAAGGTTGCTAGTTCAAATCAGCACAGAGCCGGACTGTTTTCATATATAACTTTCGCTCCCAGGTCAATCCAGCCTCAAATGGGTAACAGGTAAAGTCATGGGAAGTAAAGGCGACCTGTGCGATACTGACCTCATCACTCACTAAAAACTAATTGGTCTATAAAAATATGAAGCTACCCGCATTTCGCAAATGCATTACTGGCGTGTAAAGGGACATTAACCCCCTTTTTTTCCGTATCTGGACTATAAATTACAACATTAATTTACAGGTTTATTTTCTAGTTCTATGAATGATGCCTTCTTCCTTCAGTTCTTTTTAAAATTCCCTTTGCAGTACACAACATACTGTATCAACGGCACATAAACACTGACATTTCTCGACGTTTTTGCCAACTGAAAATCACCGCCTTTATTGTACCACTTTTGTCGTGTAGGATGGGGGGGGGAGACTTTGAGTCAGAGGATTTAAGGCCGCATGGCTAGTGCTGTAGCCACGGACTGCGCAGGTGAGGATTTTTGTTTTTGCCTTCAACAGAAAAAATACCAAAACCTTACTGAGGATTCCAACTTTGGTACCCCACATGAGAGCCCCAGTGTTCTAACCATTTGGCCAGCCGCTCCTCACACTTTTGCCAAAAACAAAACAAAAAAGAATCACAGTGGATTTAAAGAAACAGCCTAGACATAGATTAACCAAAACAAAATATAACATCCCTCTTGTAAAAAAAAAAAGTACAAAGCTGTTAAAGGTTAAATGATCAACTTCACTGCACTGGGTTTATCCCATAAGGCTCTATCTCTATCCACAGAATAGCTAGCAACCTGAGGACAGTGTTGCAAGAAAACCTGCGGACAGTGTTGCAAAAAAACCTGCGGACAGTGTTGAAAGAAAACCTGCGGACAGTGTTGCAAGAAAACCTGCAGACAGTGTTGTAAGAAAAGCATGTACATCATAGATCAGGTGATGATCCCCACAAATCTTCGCAGAATTTACTTGTGAACCGAATACAGTAGCCGTAAAACGAACCTCCCAACATTCAAATTGTGAAGCAAAATAGCTGAGTACTTCGCCATGGAAATCTCTAGCACAAAGCCAGCCCAGAACAAAGTTGCGCTGTGGTGGAAGATCAGACTAAAGCTGGCAAATAGAGACAGTGTTTAATTCCCCCCCCCCCCCCCCCCCCCCCCCCCCCCCCCTCTCACCCCAAAGAAAAAACAATACACTGTGCTCTTAAAAGTAATAGAGAAAAAATAAGTGACTCTCAAATGTAGCAGAGGAAAGGCTAACAACTCTCAGAAAAAACAGTGGCAGGGCATCTAACTCTTAAAAACAGCAGGCAGGATAAGTAACCCTCAAGGAAAGCAGAGGCTTAGCAATCAATTCAAAAGCAAAAGTGAAAAAACAACTCACTCTCAAGGTGACAGGACAAGTAAACAATTAAAAAACAGTCACAGATCATATGTAAACACCCCACCTTGATCTGAACGTTTCCTCTGATGTTTTGACTGTGGATAACAGGTCTGATCATCAATCTCACGATCTCGATTTCTAAGAATAAAAAATACAAACTGTTACTACAAATACACCTTTACACTTTTGCCTACTGAATTTTTTAATGTTCACTGTGAAAAGGAGGTTGGTGTCGTTATGTTTGTTTTCAGCAAAGTTGTGCCGCTGAGCTTTTCAACAGGCACATGGCATTTCTATAGTGGTTTCAAAAGTCATTCCTTCACAATTTAACAAACATCTTAAAAACTCCTCTACGGTTGAACACAAATTTGTGCATGTGGGTTTAGATTTCCCATGTCCTTATGATTTAATAATTTACAATTGCACAGGTGCTCCTATTTCCTTAAAGCAACAAATTTCTTTGATCTTTTTTTGACTAATAATTTGTGCACCATAAAAGAGAGAATATACAGAAACGGACACAAGTGTGGAGATTGGAGATCAGTTCACATCGCAGTGACGCGCGATGATTATCTTTGACAGCCTATCCCGCATACAATGAAAAACTGTGTTCATCTAATTCTTGGGAGGCTAATGCTGGAGATGCCACCTGGGAGTAAAACTCATGCAATCTGACTTTTTGAAAAGTTCCTGGTACTCAGTTGACTGTAGGCATTCTGACTGCATGCTTTGAATCGGTGGTTTTCTCATATACTGCAAATAATGCAAAATGAGATGTAGATATTTGTCTAAAATAAACAAATCTGCTTACAAGGACATGAGTAACAGGTTGCATGCCAAATTTCAACAATTTTTACCAGACGATAACCGAGTTAACAGATTCTTAAATTTGGGCCAGTCTTCAGAATTGACTACAGACTTGGCTTATCTTCCTTCTAAGACACATTTCTTCTTTTGCATCCGCCCACTTTCAGTACCAGAAGATTTTGTGACAGCTTGTCTATGGAAGTCTTAACTACAATGTGAAAGACGTGAATGTATGACTCCCAAAGAGACAAATAAGCAGTGCTTCTTGTTGACATGTATAACCTAATTTATTTAGTATGCTAAAAATAATTCAGAAAATTCAGTAATGTGATGCTTTGTGATTACAGGGAGTAACTAATTGCTTCCGATGCGCTGCTCAGGACAGAAAGCATTAAAGTGTGGTTGGCAGGTTGTGGTGTAATTTACAGCTAGGATGTGATATCTTAACCTTTCAGCCCAACATTTAATTTCAGCAAACCCCATTAAGATGCCTTTTATGTCATGCCTGTTAAAGAGCAAAGGGTCTAATTTTTCCCCCCACCAAATTTGCCCCAAAACCCACAGGGGGACAATATCTACTGTTCTATGTATTTATAATTTGGAAACTTCGCCAGATAGGGAATTTTTGGGTCCTCTTTAAGAGTTGTTAAGTCTCAAGGACTCTTTCCTACATGTGCACCGTCTTTATCTGAAAGACAAGGTGCTGGATAGATGATCAGCCTGGGGTTGTGTATTATCAATCATGGAGTCCCCCTTAGAAAAATTCTTCTTAAAATGCTGTCAACATTTTAGCTAGATGTAGAGATTATATCTGTAAACCACACTAAGCAATTAATAGACTTTAATGTCTAATGTTTGTGTCATATTTTCCTAATCAATGTGATGGAAGATGCCATACATAAATAAAGACATGAATTGACATATCCAAAGATTCTTTTACAAGAACAAGCAATTAAAAGTTCACAAATGAAAAGCTGTACTTTATTTTTTAACTACGGGTGACAATGCTAGATAATTAGTGGACCAAATGGTGAATAACTAAAGTAGCGGAGTTGCAGATATTTAAAACAAAAAGGGTTTTGGAATGTGGTGAACATATAAAAAACGAACAACATACTGAGTGCTGTATTTATCAAAACTCAGCAGACGACAAGGTCAGACTGTAGAATCATAAATGCCCTGTGCTCCTCTAGACCAAGAAGTTTTTTGGGGGAAAAGGGAGGAGGGAATGACAAACACACATACATAATGAATGTGAAAAGCTTAAACTGGGCCAACCAATTTCACCATAATAGCAGATGACAGAGTTAGATTTGGGAGTCATAAAATCTGTTATAGGCAGGCATCTGAGAACCAGAGCCAGCCAGCCAGACAGACAGAGAGAGAGAGAGAGAGAGAGAGAGAGAGAGAGAGAGAGAGAGAGAGAGAGAGAGAGAGAGAGAGAGAGAGAGAGAGAGAGAGAGAGAGAGAGAGAGAGAGAGAGAGAGGGAAGGGGAAGACAAAGGAATGGGGAGGAATAGAGGAAAGGGGAGAAAAAGAAAGGAGGGGAGAGCATATACCTGTATCTTTCTGTGTGTGTATACAATAGAACACCTAAATACAACAAAAGGTTTGGCTTAGTTGGCTGAGGGCTTATGGAGGAGGGGGGAAGAAAGAGAAATGGAAAGAGAAAGTAAAAATACATATACCTGTATCTCTGTGTGTGTATATATAGATAATTAAACACAAAAACAAAATACAAAGGGCTTGACTCAGTTGGCTGACAGTTTATGGGTGGGTGGGTGGGTGGGATTTTAGAAGGAGATAGGACAGAGAAAGCAAAAATTCATATACCTTATCTTTTTGTGTATATAACTGAATGCACAAACAAAATACAAAGGGTTTGACTTAGTTGGCTGAGGGCTCTACGAGAGATGAAAGGCAAAACAGTTAAGACGGGGCAAGCAGACTTAACATTCTGCCTGTCTGACCTCTGCAATTTCATAATTTCCATTTTAAAAAAAATTACTTTACTAGCTGAATCTTGAAAATCAGCAATCATACATGCCTTATAAACAAATGGACAATGTGCAATAACCCGTGCCACATGACTAACGAAGACTAATTATTATGGCAAGTGTAATAAGGAAAGAGAGAGCCACTGTGGCGTACTGGCTAGATGCTTGCCTGCGGATCCAAAGATCACGGGTTCAAATCCACAGATAACCAGATTGTTTTTCCTTAAATGGCCTTGGCTCCCAGGTCGAAATGGGTACCAGACGAAGTTCTGGGAAGTAAAGGCCAGCTGTGTGATGGTGACTACATCACTCCCTGAGTTTCGATTAGTCTATAAAAAAATATGAGTCTAACCCCACAAGCCCGATGTGCCACAGGCATGCAAAGGGACATTTACTTTGAATTAAAAAAAAAAAGGCATCTGGAATACACTGTATAATACGATAAAAGAATACTTTGTACATAAGATGGGGACATATATACTGAGACAGAAATAATATCAGGCAAAACTAAAACCACATCAGCAGGGCAGCAATTGACATTTTCAGTATTACAACTCAGAAAAAAGTTTTTATTCAGAAAAATGTATAGTTATTTATAAACCACAAAAGCACTTAACCGAGGAGAAAAGAAACACAGAGCACAGGAAGACACAGAGCATAGGAAAACACAGAGCATAGGAAAACACAAGAACAAAGTACGTACTTATATTTGTCATGGTGGTCCTCTTTACCAGAACCATCATCAAAGTCCATCCGCGGCTGAAAGAAAGAAAACATGAATTAAATATAAATATCAATCTAACAAAATAAAGTTGTGAGCAGTTAGAAAACCTGAATTATCAATGCTACAGTTTTAGCCTTTCCTAAATGTGATACACTGATTGATTTTGGTACTTTTTAACTGTATCGACATACATCCTAGCATATCAGCCAGACTTATTAGTGCTCTGCCCTCTGAATGCAGCTGCACTCTCCATATCTCCATTCTCAAGATACCCAGCAGGAGTTGAGCATATTTACTTTCTTTTGCATTGCTATTGGTTTCTGCATGGTTGTGCTCGTTCAATTATAATTTCCAACAGGCGGTTCATCTGACTCTATCTTAATGTCTCTGAAATGCAGTACAATATAACTGATATTAATTAATCTAACCAAAAAAAAATAGACATCATTACATACCCTTTTGGGAGAAGACGACTCTGACATAGCTACTTAAAATCTGTAAAAGAAAAAATATAAATGCAATGTAATTGAAAGAAGATAAACATAAGTACCACATTAAATTAGCTAAGTTAAACATTTTCAGAGAAAAACAATATAAGCAGCTGTAACTGAACACATTTTTTTTCTCTTCAGACCAGCAAATATGATTCCCCTTTTTATGAAAGCAGACACGTACAAATGTGAAAACATAGAGGGATATCACTACTGTCTGCAAGCTATAAGATACTATCAGCAGTACTGCTATACAGGCTAAAACTGTACGTCAAAGATATACTGGGTGATTACCAGGTGGGTTTCCGACAGAATAGATCAAGAAAAGATCAGATATTCGTTTCACAGCAGAGCAAAAATGGGAATATAGAAGAGATGTACAATTTTGTGTGTGTGCTGATTTTAAAAAGGCATTTGACAGTGTACACAGAAATAGTTTATGGTATGCTTTGGTTATGAAGCACTTTGGAATATCAAAGACGTTCATCACCATAACCATACTAGATAATGGAAGACATATAGTACCATATAAAGGCAAAAAGTATAACCCTTTTTGAACAATGTCTACTTTAAAGCAACGTGATGCTTTGTCCTCATTTCCTTTCAATGTGACCCTAAAGAAAATTATAGAGAAAGTGAAAGAACAGTACTATAAAAAAAACTACAAGTATGCTTGGTTATGCATAAAAGAAAACTTTACTACTAGAAAATGTTAAAAGAACAGTTTTCACTCAGTATTATAACTTTGGGTCACTGTGACACAACAGTCAAGACCTGTTGCTTTGAAGTCTGAAGGCCACCCTAGAAATCAGACATTTTTCGGTAGAAAAGAAAGCAACAAATTATGGGCATTAACTCTTTTGAGTCCCAGGGGGTTTAAGCATCACAGGTCCAGGGGGTAGTAAAGAGAGTCATAAAATCGGCGCATCATGCGTTCACTGGGCTTCTAGGTAGGAACATGTGAACATATGATGCGTTCCTTGGGACTCAAAGAGTTAAAAAAGACAGGCAAGGAATGCAGTTTATTTGTTTTAAACACAAAAAAGTACACATGTACAAATTATGTGTGTCCAAGTGCTAATTTGGCCGAGACCCATGAATTGGATGGAGTGTTAGGTGGAGCTAGATAAATATGCAAAGTTTTACTTAAAAACAAATAATGGGTTTAACCCTGTTGCCCCATGATCTAGAAAAACAATGCCATTGACCTGTTTTTAGTTAATTCCCGAAAAATCCTTGACATTAATATTTTTACACTCAGGTCACCAAAACAATATTAAATTCCATACAGAATAAGGACAGTCATAAGTAAACACGATGCAGCACAGAATAAACTGGGTCACATCTCCTGAGTCTCAGAAGGGAATGTTTATGGTGACCAATTTATTTTACTGTGTATCGATTGCGGATTAACAGTGACCAGCAAGAAAATTACGTCACACAATGTCATATTTTCTATTAATAAAGTTGTTTCTAAAGGAAAACGCTCTAAGTGTAATTTCTAGTAAATGAAGTCATTTCTGGCCCTTCTACATGCGTGCGCTGACACAAGTGATAACAGTGCTTAGTGTTTCGTAACGGCCTAATAAGAAAAAAAAAATGAATCACGCTCTGGGAACTAGACCTTACTACTCAATGCCGCTTTTGCAGCTTCTCAAGGTTATAGGGTTAACATTTAAGAATTCCAGTTTGGCAGAAGAATTGAACGTTTAAGCAAAATAGTTCTTAAATCAGTAAAACTCAAAACACTAACTTGATTTCTTTCACAACTTTATCCAGCACACGGCTACAAGGAAACCAAAACAGCCCTAAAGCAGTCTTTCAAGGGGGAAGTGGAGAAGGCAGATCGGAGATTAAGACCAGAGAGTGACAGTGTGGTACAATAAACAAACTCAACAGGAAAGAACATAGATCAGTTTTTAGGTTTCGGACAGGACACTGCTGTAGTCTTCGAGCACACCTGCCTGCACAGAAATGGCATAAAAGTAAAGAATCTGCTGCCTGTGATTGTGAAGCAGAAAGAAGACCCCTGAGCACATATTTCAGGACTGCCCTAATTACTCACAGCAAAGATTGTGGATCTGGCACAAGGGAGCCACATTTTACAAGAGAAGCTGTGGGGAGGCAGGCGGCGACCTTAAATGCACAAACCTATTTGTGACCCAGACGGAACTGAACGTTTAGCATGACTGATGTCGGATGTCGAATGCAGAAGAAGAACTTGACTACCAAGAGGCTAACCAACAATTAATAATATAAATCATTATTTTATTAATAACTAACTCTGTAAGTAATAATAAAGTAATGACAATGAATAGTGACAAATTTCATTATTATAATTATAAAGCTACCACCATTTAAAGGGAGAGTTATGGAGAATGAGAGCACGTACATTTTTATTTATTTTTATTATGGCAGTTCTTAGGTATAACCTAAGAACAAATCTGGGAGTTTCCCCACAAGTGTCGGTAGTGTGGACGGAAAAATTCACGTTTTTCTGCATTATAATCATAATGGTCCATGAATGTTGACATTGCAGATGATGATAATCCGTTATCATTCGATTGAATTCAGCTAAAAGAATCAAAAGTATTACTGGCGACTCCACGGTGTAAAAACTAAATGAAAACTCTCGAGAAGACGAATGAATCAACTCAAACTGTAATCATTCCTGATTCCTTTCCTTCACCATTCCCGTTCTGCGTTCACAACACAGAAGCAAGGACATTCGGCCTACCTCAAGCACTGACAACGTTCATTTTTACTCATATGCAAACAACTGGTAAAAATAATAAACCAAACAGTATTAAGAAACTTTTAATGAGACCCAAAACCACAAAATACTTACAGAAACCGCAAATTTCACCGCTTTATTTCTTGCAATATTTTCTCTAGACGCCGTCCGCCATGAACATGGAATTATGCAAATTAGTAGCGAGACTTCACTTCGAGAAAATACTTCTAAATGTCAATCCAAAAAAAACTTGTTTCCTTAATTGTCTTCAAACATAAACCATATTTAATAACAGATGGTGTCATGAGTGATAAAAATAAATTAGTATGTATAATGTAAAGTGATATTCGGAGGTTATTTTGTGAACTTTCACCCTGACCTCTAGAGGACACCCACAGACATACGGCGAGAAGTCTGCAAAGCAAAATGTTGTCAACAACCTCCAGCGTCTTGAAAAGGTCCGGTTATTAAATGTTTGTGTCCTTTAATTTTGTTATATGCATGCACATTATTGTTTACGGCTTTGAATAATTTTAGAATATTTAATAATTTATTTAGTGGAGCAAACTGGAGTTAAAGTCCAGGTAGGCAGATCGTGAAAAATTCGAGTTTGTGTGAACACAAGTAACCAAAATGTAAGCAGGGCTCCCCCCAGACCAAAAGGTGCCAGGACTCGCACAAAGCGTTTATTAGAGTAGTTTTTAAAATGCATGTTGACTAAAAAAAAGGGGGAAGGGGGGGGGGGGGTAACCAGTACATGGTAACATTGTGTACGGTCATAAAAGTCCGGCAAGAAAGGAAACTGAAGCAGAATGTACATTGTGCGAATTACAAAAATGCTACAAAATTACGTCTACGTAGTAATTTTAAATTACGTAGCACTATACTATGCATACAAAAAGTATAAGTTTTTTTTAAAATTGAGTGCAAAGACGATCAGTATTTGAAGTTTCGCTGTATTTTTTTAAGATGAATCAACATATCCATTGTCTGATAACCAGCTTTATCATGAAAGTAAATTGAATGACTAAAAAAACTGAAGTAATGGAGGTCAGTAGATTTTCGGCTCTCCTGTCAAATCCGGACGAAGAATAAAAAGCCTTGGACGACTTAGTCAGAGTTCTCTCCCGTGGCCGCACTGCAAACAGTGATCGGAAAAGCCAACGAAACAAACGACACACTTACCTATCATCATACGGTTGCATGTAGGGCTGCGTACGGTTGCATGAGGCATCGTGAAGGGATGCGTAGTCATACGGTTGCGTGCAGGGGTGCGTACGGTTGCGTGAGGCATCGTGAAGGGATGAGTAGTCATCATACGGTTGCGTGCAGGGGTGCGTACGGTTGCGTGAGGCATCGTGAAGGGATGCGTAATCATACGGTTGCGTGTAAGGATGCGTAGTGTTTGGGTTTGAGGTAGGGTTAGGGTTTAGAGTTAGGGGTAGGGTTAGATGTGAAAATTTTGACGTAGGATTTCGAAATACTGGCCGACAATCTGTTGTTTGTGGGAGTGGCGCCACTGAAACTCTGCCAAATATGACGCCAATAGCGTGCGGCTGGTGCCCCCAATCGTTGGCGAAATATGCGTTTGACCAGCATCCAGAGGCCCTCGATTGTTTGTGTGTGTATGGGACTGTGCGCGATTATAGGGAACTCCGGCGTCAAAATTGTCAAATCTAACGCTAAACTTAACCCTACCGCTAATCCTAATCCTACTCCCTAGCCCTAACCCCTACCCCTAACCACGCAAATTTATCGATCATTAAAGCATACAAATCGGCAAAAACCAACAAACACAACACACTAAAAAAAAAACCAGAATTGTCCTGCAGCGTCGAAAAAAAAACCCAGATCTGTGGGAAACAACCAAGCATTGGCAGCCCTGATGTCGACGTGACTGTCTTCTTTGTTTCGTTGGCTTTTCCGATCATTGTTCGCAGTGCGGCCAAGGGAGAGAACTCTGACTAAGTCGTCCAAGGCTTTTTAGTCTTCGTCCGGATTTGACAGGAGTACCAGATTTTCTAGTCCACTACATATTGGGTTGAACAGTATTGGTCAAAGCATGTTCCAGAGTTTAAATATCTAGGAAATGTATTCTCGGAAGATGAGAGAATAGATCAGGTAATAGAAACAAGATGCCAACAAGCCAGTGCACTTATATATCAACTAATGCCTTTATTAAGAGACCCATACATAATTGTGACTGCAAAGAAAACTAGTGCCAAACTTGGTCAATATCAAAAGTTAACCTACATAAAATGAACACGTTAAAAACAAGGTGTCTGAGGAAAGCCACCCATCCGAGACAAAATGAGAAAGGATATTGTCAGAGTTGGAACAACGCCATGCACTAAGTTCATTGAGAAACAAGATTAAATGGTTTAATTATCTCGTTAGAATTCAGCTCCAACAACTACCATCACAGGCGCTGCACATGAAACGATATGATGGGAAAGCAAGAAATCAGCTTAGGATTGCACGATAGCTTTCATAAAGGCTACCGGCCTCTTGATATAAGTTTTCTGACAGAAGGATCGAAGAAGAAGAAGAAGAAGAAGCTTAGGAGAAAGATTGATCATAGAAATTAAAGAGCTTCTACATCGACACAGAATTACAGAAGCCATTGCTACCCATCAAGTAATGGATCGCAGACTGTCTCTCCCCATGATGCTCTTAGGCAGAAGTGGAAATTGATTATGATGATAATTGGCTATACCACTCCACGGCTATTGAAAAGAGTTGCTGATGTTTTTGTGTATATGACTGTGACGTGCGAAGGCTTCATTGTGACTGGCGTATGCTTGAGCTACAGTGTGACGTGTTGTAAAGGCTGCGTGGTGATGTGCGGCGTAGAAACGATGACTAGGGGTGTCGCAATGTAACAAATGGCATCAACACTTAACATGCCACTGGCCAAGAGTAACACAACATGATGAATGCTGAAGCTTCCAAACGTAGCGGAACGAGAACTCTCTTTAAAAGTTCCATTTGTGTATTGACAAATAGCAATGATCAACACAAGGAGAAATATGCACGTAATATTTCATACTCATTCAAGCACATCAACAAATGCCCGCTCGAACATCCATGGACTGATATGTCCTCACTATAGGTCGCAGTCCGACCTTGAGATCCAGACGATTATCTTTGTCTTCGGACAAGTCCGAATTAAGCAATGAAAGTATACCGGCTTACTGCCGAGCTGTGACAATTCACCTAAACATCAACTGCAAAGTATACCGGCTTACTGCCGAACTGTGGCATCCCGGGGTAAAACGTCCTCAAGGATCCACCGTGGCATCCCGGGGTAAAGCATCCTCAAGGATCAACACCAGGGCCGGACCACCATCCGCCTTGGTCAAACTTCGACTTTCATCTCCTAGAATACAATTCCTTCACAACCTGACGTATTGTTTTGATGTCTTATTTGCTCACTCAGTACTGGTGCGTTCTGGTGCACATCCGCACGCGACAATGACCTTGGGCCATTACTATTCACCTGAGTTTACTTAAGGCTAAAATGTTAAAAATGTGAATCGTCACAGGCCCGAGGCCACAGCTTAAAAAAGATAATCAATACAATACTATTAGCAGGTGATCCACTTGCTAGTCCTTTGCGGGTCACTAGTTAAATAACACTACCCAAGGCCATGCCAAGGAAGGGCAATAAGTCAGCACAGAGTAATGAGAAAGCAGTGTGAAAGTATGTTTATCTCCAGTAGTGTGCTTATTGAATCACCAAAGACATGCATTCAAAATCAAATGTCTCTGAGAAAAAGGATGAAAATAAAATGGAAGGAATTCAAAGAGAAATAAAGAAATAAGGAAATGTTTGGGAAGCCACTAGTATCAACAGTTATAGGATGGAGAAGATGTCGCTAAATTGGACACATCCAGATAATAAACCAGCAGAGAATCACCAAACAGGCATTAAAATGGGAAATAAAGGTATTACGGAGGCGAGGACGCCCATTAAAAAGCCTAAGACGAACTTTGACGAGAGAGGCCAAAGCTGCTGGACTGGATTCCATCGATAATATTGAATTGTTTGCACAGTATAAAACGAAATGGAGGAATAGACTGGGAGCCCTATGTCCCATTTAACGGCACAACAGGATAACTGAATGAATGAGTATACTTATTCTTTTTATAGCCCATGCCATGTGGCTTCAGAAGTCGGGTCTAATCACGGCAACTGTATATTATATGACAGCATACATACACTTCCAACCAAATCTACAGGTTTCCTAGAATAGAAATTACAAGTCAAGCAGTTGGCATGCCAAGTTATTCACAGTAAGACATATTTAACTTCAGTGTTAGTAAGTGAAAGTTAAGACAACAATCCTATGTTCACAGGCCAACAGTAATTCTTTTTTGGGGGTAATACATTTGTACAACACTGAAGTGCTGAAGAAGGCTTGTCTGAGTGTGATTATCACCTTTTAACAGTCCCTTTTCCAAGTATTCTATCTTGACCGTATTGTAAGTAAATTGGGGGGGGGGGGGGGGGGGGGCTCCCATCATGGCATCCATATGACCCACAAAGGTTAAAGGTTGGTCTGACCTTAACTCTTTTGAGTCCCAAGGAACGCATCATACGCTCATAGGTTCCTACTTAGAAGCCCAATGAACGCATGATGCGCTGATTTTATGACTTTCATTATTACCCACTGGGCCTGTGATGCTAAACTCCCTGGGACTCAAAGAGTCTTCCCAATATCATGTGCTTAGACCTAAAAAACTAATTTTTTGTTTGCTTGTGTTTTTCTAAATTATTAGCCTGCTCGGAAAGACAGCAGCTCTTGGTGCAGCCAGTGCGCGGCTGAAGCACACACTGCCAGATTTGAAATATGATTTTAATGCTCTGGAGCCATACATCTCTGCAGACATCATGAAGCTGCATTACCAAAAGCATCACAACGCATACGTGACAAATCTCAACATTGCTGAGGAGAAACTGGCAGATGCTGTACAAAAAGGTACTAACTACTCTATGGGAAGAGTTATCAAGGAAGAGTAATGGGTTTCCAAGAGGATGTGTCTGTGACACATTCCTGGCCCAACTCTTGTTTTCGTTATTTGATGATCAAGAAACCAATTTGTCTTCCTTGATAAGAACATGCATATACTTTCATTTGTATTTGTTATTTTATAACCAGGAAACCAATTACTCTTCCCTGATAACATGCATATACTTTCACTGTCTTTGTCATTTTATAACTAGGGAACCAATTACTCTTCGGTAATAACAACATACATATACTTTGTCTTGGATATTTTATAACCAGGAAACCAATTACTCTTCCCTGATGATGACATGCATATACTTTCACTAGTCTTTATTATTGTATAACCAGGAAACCAATTACTCTTCCGTGATAACAACATACATATACTTTCACTTGTCTTTGATAGTTTATAACCAGGAAACCAATATGTCTGTCACCATCATCTGTGGGCGTCCCATAAGTTTAGTAGATCCTGGTTCACAACCCACACGATCACCAGAATCACAATTTGGGTCAATGCTATTGTTCTGCCCCCATCCACTTCACTAAGCCATGCATGCACGAGGTTTGCAGAATGTCTAGTGACATAGAGTACAGCTCCATGACGGATGAAAGAGAGCGTGGTTTTCATCACAAGGTGATAGATAACAACTACTGCTCATTAACACCCCCCCCCCCCCCCCCCCCCCCCCCCCCCCCCCCCCCCCCCCCCCCCCCCCCCCCCCCCCCCCCCCCCCCCCCCCCCCCCCCCCCCCCCCCCCCCCCCCCCCCCCTGAGTTTTTCTTATTTAAAATAAACTGCCGAAAAACTTTTTGATTTTCAATATTCAGGTGACCTGGGTGCGGTGATCAGTCTCCAACCAGCCCTGAAGTTTAATGGTGGAGGACATATCAATCACAGCATCTTCTGGCAAAACTTGAGCCCAAAAGGTGGCGGGGAGCCCGAAGGTGATCTCTTGGATCAGATTAAAGATGACTTCACTTCATTTGAACGCATGAAGTCAGAGCTTGTTGCTGCCTCCGTAGCCATTCAAGGATCCGGATGGGGTTGGCTGGGGTACAGCCCAGTTAATGGCCACTTGCGTATTGCTACTTGCGCCAACCAAGATCCCCTTCAAGCAACAACAGGTATGCAAGTTTTTTTTTTCTTCAAAAATGTGTTTGTTGTTTGCATTCACGGGCTATAAACTTCAGTAGAAAGACCTGGTTGTTCATCCAAATTGCGGACTTTGGCTTTGTTCCAGGATTTGTATGCAGATTGCTGGTTCCTTTCCTCTCAGGCAGATGCACTCCGACTTCAAAGTAAGCCCCCAGTTAGTCGACTCTTACGACATGCTTCTTGTGGAGGCAGTGGGTCTTTTCTTGTTTTCCCTACAATTGGACCCCGGAAAACACACGGGGGGGGGGGGGGGGGGGGGGGGGGGGGGGGGGGAGAAATGTGTTTAAGAACATACATTTGAGGCTTAAAGTTGAGAGGATCGACTTCATTGCACTAGGCTATATCCCATGTGGCTCAGTCTCTCTCCGCAGAATGGCTAGTTGCCTGCCAAGAGCATTGCACAAAGCATGAACACTGTAGCTCCTGCTGCGATCTCCAGGGGTTTTGGTAAAAATTGCACCTGTAAGCTGAATGACACAGCCATGAAATGGACTTGTGACCTTCGAAGCGCGACAAAAGGCTTGACCACACCTAATTACATTTCAGATATCAGTAGGTTATCCTCAGTGTACTGTAATCTCTACCGTAATAAATTTGTCAGTGTAATTCATGGTTTCATTAGATATGTCAGTTAGCTTAAAAAATAACCAATTATCAGCCCCCCCCCCCCCCCCCCCCCCCATCATTGGTTCCAGATCCCCAATTTGGGTGGGGGAGGAAAAAAAGACACACTGCTTTGTAAGATGATTAATTTAAGAATTTGCTGAAATCATGTGTCGGGCCAAACTGCACAGTTATTACAGCCTAGCTGTAAACCACAACACAGCATGCCAACTGCCAATTGCAGGGTGAACACAGAAGAAGACAAGAATTGGCTTAATGTCTGGTTTTCAGTTTCCACTCTGCTGTATGTTGAGAAAAAATACTTTTAAAAATATTTTACCCGTCACCCTGAGAAAGCTGTTTTTCCTACATTTATAGGTTTTTGATGTCACGACATCTTAACTTAAGGTTTCAATCCTTTTGTAATTTTTATGATTCTAAGTCAAGTTCTTCACTATGACTGTTAAAAAGTGTGAGATTTGAGGCAAAAATGTGAAAATAAGGCGTCCGTAGCAGTGATTTAAAACTGGTTGTGTGCTGACTTTTTCTCTTGTCATTGTTCCTGATTTGGTCTGTACTTGCAGCTCTTGTCAGAGATATTATTTCCATGGTTATTAATTTTCTTTTTTGGTTTATAGTGAGTGACCATGTCTGGCATTATTAGTATCAAGTGGGAATGAATATGCTGTGTATGAGATATTTGTGTTGTCGGGATTGTCTTATGATAGAAGAGTTGGCTAGATGAAACTTTTGCAGCCATAAGTTAACTACAGTTTGTAATTTCTATCCAGGTTTGATACCCTTGTTCGGCATTGATGTTTGGGAACATGCCTACTATCTTCAGTACAAGAATGTGCGGCCAGACTATGTGAATGCAATCTTTCATATTGCTAACTGGAAGGATGTGTCAGAGCGACTGGCAAAAGCTCGCTTGGCTTGAGTTGACAGTGCAGTAATGTTTTCATTATTACTAGAACATTTTGAAGTGGAAGAAATGGCAGATTAAAAATTTTTTTTTTATAACTTTATGGATTTGATAGATTTTCCTCATGATGTTGGTTTATGTTATTGGCTATGTGTCCTGGATAACTACTTGTGTGCTGAATCTCAAACTTTGTAGATGGAAGCTTTGACGAGTCTAAACTTTTCTCAATGAAAAGGTTTGCTTTGTATTTGCATGGAATGTGACCGGCACTGCATATTAGTTACGCTCAACCTCTTGATATTATCTGACTGGTAATTTTCAAATAAGATATCTTAATTTGAAGAAAGTTTTTTTTTTTCTTCCAATCATTAGGTTGCAACTTTTATGTATGCGTTATGTATGTTTTTTTTCCAGTTCTTGTGTCATGTAATATTGTCAGTATTTTATGAATATACAATAACCAGAGACAGCCATTGTTAGGTCACTCACTTGTTACTGATATTCTGTTAGCTTCAGCTAAATAATTTTTTGAAGAAATAAGATAAATGTCTGGACAACCACTGGTATCAACAGTTATAAAACAAAGAAGGTCATGCTCGATTTAAACAAGCAGAGAATTAAACTTTATTTTAAAGGATCACAAATTTGATCCACTGACTCGTTCACATTTGGCCTCTGCAGACACTCATATCTCACTAAAACTAGCACTGAAATGGAAAACAGATTCAGAAAACAAGGGTGCATGAAATGAGCGCCGTCCAGAAAAACGTACGATGTAGACTGGTTTACATCTGTGATAATGAGAAGATTGCACAGGATATAAGCTAACGGAAAAAGAAGATGGTGATAAAACAAAACTACTCAAACAAGGGTAGCCAGGTGATAAATAAACATATGATGCACAACCCATTTTTGTAAAGAATATGATCTTTACTTCCTAGGTAAGTTGACCGATTTCTTTCAGTGTATTTGGATTGACATCTGAAGGTGCATAAACAAGTATAAAATTATAAAGGAATGTGTACTTTTCTTGACATGTTGGCAGTGTATGCGATTAGAGAGTTGCTTGTTGTTATTACTTGTTAATCATGCAAATGTACCATGTAGTGGTGTATGCTAAATTAAATAAATTTTAAAAAAAGCACTTAAAACTGTTTAAAAAAATAATGTGTTTGTTTCCCTTTGCCTTTAAAATGAAAAAAAAAAATTTGGGCGGCTTCAACCTGCCTTTGGGGCTTGGTTTTAATTGCGTCCTGGTTTCTTTGCGGTTTTAGTTTTTTTCTTCTTATGTGACGTGGTCTCACGCCTATTTGTGGTTTTTCTTGGATTTCTGCAACACTGGCTTGGGTTGGAAGTGGATGTATTGCTAGTCCTGAGAAGGACTAGCAGAGTATGCCTGGCACGGCCTGGATCGGGATTGGGTGGGAGTAGATCTGGCTGTCGAGTTAGTCATGCCTGGCTGGTTTTTTGCAAGTGGGTTATTCCTGTCTGGTGAGCTTTGGTGGGTGTCATGGCGGCTTGGTCGGTTCTGGTTGGTTGCTGGCTTCGTCGTACCTCGGGCAGGCTGGATCGTCTGCTGGGTCTGAGCTGGTGGTTACTCTTCTTCTTTAGGCGAACCTTGGCATACACAAATTACTGAGCAGTGGGCTTTTGAATGGTTGATGCTTCACTTGGACGCTGACCTCGCTTGTCACTTCAGCGGTTTTTTTCTTCTTCTGCTGTTTGTACTGCTCTTCTATCTTCCTCCTGTGCTTTTTCTGCGGCAGTATGTTTTGCTTTGTGTTTTTTGGTGGTTTTCGACGGATTGCCTTTTCCTTTCCACTTCTTTCTTTGCGCTTTATCTGGCGTCCATCACTTTGTTGGTGGCTTGCAGTGCGATGCTCAGTTTGGTGCATTCTTCCTTAGTCTTGGTTAACTCTGTTTTGCTTGCTATCAGTTCTTTCTTGATAGTAGTGACATTTACTTCTTTCATTTTCTTGAGTTCTGTCAGCATCACCATCAGGTCTGTTTTGAACGCCATCATCTCAACATTCTCTTTTTCCAGTCTTCTCTGGGTTTCCAGGGATGACTAGGGTTCCTCTCAGATCTGTCATGTCATCCCTCTCTTGGTCTCTTTGAATCTTGATTAGCGTATTCTCTTTCTTGAGGTTCTGGATTTCCTCCTTTAACGGCAGAATTTCCTTGCTGAACGTGGGAGCTGTTACTGTCGGCCGGGGCTGCTCTGCTCTGCGTCGGTACTCTGGGTTAGAGGCGGTCCTGGTGGTGGTATACGTCTTATCTCTCTTGATTTCCTTCAAGTACGGGCATTCCTGGTACCTGTCGCTGTGGCTCCCTGAGCAATTAGAGCACTTTCGATTGGTGTTAGGCTTCTTGAAGTCCGGATCCGTTTTAGCAAAGCTGCATTCCTTAAAATCATGCGGGCCGGAGCAGTAAAGGCAAATTGGGCTGCTGCGGCAGGTGGCGGCGGTATGCCATGCCCGTTTACAGCGCGAACACTGCGTGATCTCAGGTGTGTAGTTACCAGACTGCTGCTTCTTGTGCGGCTGACTGCTACTTCCTCTCCGTGTCACGACAGTTGTGGCTTCTTTGTTTGGCGTCTTGATCGGTGACTGTGCCTCCACCAGCACAGCGTCTGGAATGGGCGGCATCTGGGTCGGTGCGGCTGGCTTCTGGCTAGAGACAACTTCAACCGGTGCTTGGGTCCTCTAGTGTCGGCATCATCAGGTCGGTGCCACGTTGGGTGCGCTAACTTCGTTCACTGAAGTTGAGCGGGTGGTGCGGCTTCTTCTGGCTGTTTTTACCTCGGGCTATAGTTGATAAGGTTGTTATCAGGTACTTGGCGAAAGCTTTCAACTGACAGGTCGGCAAGGCTTGTTAAGTATCCTAAAAAGGACACCAAGCATGCTCCCTAGTCAGTATCCAGACAATCGTTTCAACAAATGGTGAGTATTCGGGTTGCTAATAACCCAAACGCAGATGACCCCGATAGCTTAGTCGAGACAACCTCAGCCGAATATCAAGAGAGTAGTTGTCCAGTATCTAGCTATCGAGTATCAGGCTATGAATGGGTAGTTAGCAGGCGACGAGTGAGACACAAGTGATGATGTGGATGATGGATCGATTGGTTTGTTTCCCTTTGAGTGCTCACAGCATTTATATGGAGTAGCAGCAGTCTTTTTTGTCTCCTGATACAATTGGGGATCGTTGCTGGAGCTATGGGTTTTTGCAACACATAGATAAGCCATTCTGCAGATAGAGATCAAGCCAAATGGGATGGGATAAAACCCAGTGCACTGAAGTGAATCCTCGTGACTTTCAACTTTTTCCTGATAGAATCATCTTGTGTTCTTTTAATTTAGAGAATCTACAAACCCATTGCCAGAAAACAGTTAATCCAAAACCAGGGACTAGCTCTTTACCGCAAGCTGATGAGCCATATAATGTTAGATTTGTCTTGAAAGCAGATGACAGATACTTTTCTTCTGCAGCATTCCGAGCCCTTGAAGTTTATTTACTGCTGCAGACATCACCAGCCTGTGATTGGCCTTCTCTTTCCAGTTTGTACATCTGCCTGTGTAGTACCTCTCCATTATCCTCAGAGTCTACTCCCATTCAACTCTTGTTTTTGCAGTTGTTATTTTTCTCTTATCTGCCCATCTCTCTGTACGCCCCAATCATATGACCTTCATACACGTACAAATAACTGCAGCACGCTTGACTTATGAAAGACATAACTACAATCTTTTCATGTTCATGGGCTGTAACGTCAGCGGAAAGTTGTGGTTATTTGTCCACCCACTGGACAATAGTCTTGTTCCAGAATCTGAGCATTGCATGCACATCTGTGTTACAGATTAGGCTTATTTGTATGCAGACTGTTGGTTCCCTGCCTCTCGGGCAGATGCATTCCAAATTCAGAGGAAGCTCCCAATTGTCAACTTTGAGGACATTCTTGTTGGAGAGCAAGAGTCTGTTCTTGTCTCCCTACACAATGGGACTCTGGAGACTACATGGCAAGAAAGACATAACTGAGCTACAAGAAGAGAATGTAAACAAAACACAATCATTCCTCAAAACTTTATTTTTGCATATAATAAACATATGCCTAAACACAGCTGTGTGCTTAGCCATAATGTATGTACCAGCACACGAGCCTTTTCACCTTGAGAAGGCTAAACAATCCAGTCACTTCCGGGTTATGACAGTCTCATAGATGCAGATATATTGACCTGTCTGCAGCAATCTGTTCTCAGAAACAGTAGTTTACTTCCAACTGTTCTATGTGCGCCTGCGCAGTGTTTATTAAACCAGGATATGAATATAGTAAATAATATTATTTACACGAGTTTCCTTGTGATCCCCCGCAACTGTTTTAAAGCCAGGCTGATGTGAGATTTTCTCGTAAGGAGAGGTCACAACAGGAGTCAACCAGTTTATAATGTTTAGAACCCAAGGAATGTATTCCATTAAATGCTACACTCTGTGCTGGTGTTTATTGATTAACCCTTATTTATATTAAGTAGTAAAGCACCACTGGGTAACATTTTCCCCCAATAGTATTTTAAAGCAACTTTACAAACAAAACAACTATTAAAACAACTCTGGAAACAATAAATATAAATTATCAAACCAATTCTAAAACTGAACCAACCTTTGAATCAACTTTAAAAATAATTTTTAAAATATTCAATCAACACTGGCAAACAAACCATTAATGATACTACTAAGTGTGGAATCAAAATCAAACATCAGATAAACTCTGGAGAGATATTTCTCCCACCACATCATTGCTGCGCTCACAGCTATGCAGCCAGTGCACAGATGGGAGAAAGGTGTCCACACAAGCCTGTGCATAACACTAATTGACTCTAGTCAATTATAGCATACAAGTTAAAAGCTGACAACAGTTTTGCTGTAGCATGAAAATTAAAAATACAAGGTTTTACATTAAAACCATAAATTGTGTGTGATTACAAATTACAATAACCACGCCATGTCTTGTAACTTATCAATACTGTTATTAAGGATTTCTGGGGGTATTAAGCTTAACAGGCAAGCATCGCCATACTAGACCATCTGCTGATGAATTCTTATAGGTTTGACAACTTAACTGATTTTTAAAAAAAATGGATAAACAGAATGCTGCTCCTCTTTGGTGCATGTCAAAAGTTTGGCGACCATTTTTAAACTATCACTCTGAAATTACCATGTTTGCACTGTGATGTCACGTGTTTAACACACTTGACATCCTTTAAAATACAATGATAGGTTAAAAAAGCAAATGGAATGGTTATTGTCAATTTCTATCTACTTTTAGGATTTCCATTTGAATTCCCACCCCCCCCCCCCCCCCCCCCCCCCATATGATTTTTTTTTAATCATACAGAAGCAAAAATAATAATTTATCAAAAAGATGTAGCAAGCAAAGTTCTAAGAGAAAAGTTTATTTCATTCATAATTATAAACACACACTAGTTTTTGTCGCCAAAGTGCGAAGTGGCAGACTTTTACAAATATTAAACCATGACATAATATTTACATATATTAAACCATGATATGTTTACACATATTCAACTATGACATGGAGACTATCAGTTCCTGTGCTTACCACCTGCCTTTCTGAGATAATCTCAAGAAAATTCAAAAAATGCTTCGGTACCCATGGTCTGATGCTACTAGAATACCCAGATGTACCCAGGAAAGTCCTTATTTTTTTCTAAGACACATAAATCTACATATATTCATGTACAGATTTTCTATACATATTCGAATATAACTCTCTCCAGCATCAGCCACATTTCAATATTTGATGTACACTAGCACCTGTAGTCTATGTGACTGGCCATTTGGCAACAAGTATCTCTGACAATCTTATCCTGGTCTTATTGTTGGGGTAGGGATATTAAAAGCATTCCGACAACATTCAAAAACAAATGCCTCAGTAATTGATGATGGTTAATGGGAATGAACTTAAGAAAGGCAAAGAAATAAATGTCTGGACAACAGCAGGCTAAAGGTGCTGAACTGGATTCCATCCATGCTATCAAAAGAATTGAACAGCATATACAACAGTATGGAGGACTAGACTGTGAGCCCTGTGTGACATTTAACGACATAACAGACCGATGATGATGATGGTGAGTGCAAGGAAGGCTGTTTATTTCACCACTTGTATGTCCGTAGCAGAGCCATCTGGGACCAAAAGGGTTAAAGGTTTCGTACTCGAGAGCGGAGCTATTCAATTTGCAGGCCCGCGAGAGCCTAGCAAGTTCCCCACAGATCACTGCTAGTCGCAATGTAATAAAAATTTTGGCTCCTGGCCAAACTCATGTTGGATAGCCCTGCCCTAGAGCAATGACCGTACATGCAAAATGGTTTACATACCAAACAAAGAATGTTTGGCTATCCTCTGAATAACGGTCCCAAATTATCGAGGCCAAAAATATACCCAGGGCCTCAGTCACATGTAAATTGTGGACTTTCGGCAACTACCGCCACCGCGAGAGCATCTCCTGCGCCGCTACGCGGAGTGGGGCTTAACTAGATAGCTGGGACTCACGAACAAATAAAATGAAGGAAGCTGCAGGAGATACGGTAGCTGCTGCTCGTATCAGTCCCAGTCATATAGTTGAGCCCCGCTTCGCACAGGAAATACTCTCGACGCCGAAAGTCCGCAATTTACATGTGGCTGAGGCCCTGTTGGGGTATATTTTCGGCCTCGATAATTTGGAACAGTTATTCGGAGGATAGCTGAATTTTTTATGTAATCCTAATAAACTAAATGTTAAAATACATACTGACACACTAAAATGTTTTTAATAATGCTTCAATTGAAAATTCTAGTAAACAAAACTTGAACATGGTAAAATCTGATAGTAACAAACAAGGAAGGAATGTAGACTACAGCAATGAAATTACACTGATTTTCCTAAGCCACAAATAAGCTTACACTGAATGTTGTGTCCGGCCTCCCAGTGTTTCTCCTGGCATTGGCGTGAGCAGTATCTCACCATCAGACAGGCACTGCACTTGCGAAAGAACGTGCTGGAAATGCCGTTGTGGTTCCCACATACAGGCCAGCTGCAGTAGATGTACAGCCACTGCTGCTTGAGACACCTGCTCAGCAGATCCTTCAAGAGAATTGACAAAACAATATACTTTGTATAATATCCTGGGAGTTTAGTGGCTGGTACATGCGTATTAGTCTGCTGACCCAGTGGTCATCAGGAATGGCAGCGAGTCTATCTCCCCCCCCCCCTCAAGCAAGCAATGGAATCCACATGGGGAGCTTTAGGGTTACTCTCCATCATGACAAATCCACCACAATGTGGATCTAAACCCTAGACCTTCAGACGGGCAGGCAAGCCTCTAACCAAAATGGCTCCCTTCTTGTTTTGACTACTGATTTAAGAATCAACATCATAGCACACCGGGCATACTGAGCTCCGTCTCCCTAGGCAAAAGTCTTTAAGGTGTAGATGCTAACCGTTGCCGTAGCACACTGATTATACACACCCCGTTCTTTTACGCTCATCCGCACCTCCTTGCCGGATCCACACTTAATTCCTCGTTGACACATTTTTGCATGTTATTTCATATAACTCGTGTCTTCTGTCAACATTCGTTCATATATGGTCTTCAAAATATCTCCACTGTGGGGAACGAGTGTTCCCTTAGCTTTCATCTTTGCGCTCTTTCATTCCCTCGCACTCCTGCATATCCTGGACAGTATATCCCCGTGATTCCCTGCAATGATGGCGTGCTAATGCTTGGTACCCACTTATGCCACATTAGTCCATTTTGAACTTTCTGCAGTGCTGACTGAGAATCAGACACACTAATTCCTCTGGTAACTTTGTTTTTTGGAAATGGTTTACTATTTTCTTGTAAATTTAATCGAGATAGTCCAGTAATGATTGGTCGAACAGGCATACAGTACAGCTGAAGCTGCAGCACTAGGTGGTGGAGTAAAGCATGAAAAGCTAGATGTGATCAAGGCCCTTTGGGAGCAAGTAAACAATGTGGGAGCGTAAACTCATCATTACGGTTTGGAGAGAATGGTGCAGTGGGGAATGGCCAGGGGATCTGGCCAACAGGGGAAAGGCAAATGGACATTCAGTGAGACTGTTACTGATACTATTGGAGTAGAACTCTTTGCTGGCTGCCAAAGATGAGGACTGAGCACTTATGGGATGTTCAGAGTACTGTGATGTTGGTTCTTAACTCAATGACTGGTTGGAATTGTGCAGCTAGTTTTCCCTTAAATGAGGTAGTCATTCTTATGTCAATGTTCCTTGTTTTTGTGTGTGTGTGGTAGGTTAGCTCCCCTAGAGTCCCTGGCCACACACAGGCTGATCTCAGTCAATCAGGTGATGTCTACACAATAAAGGTTGCTGCAAGAGATCTCCAAAATGCTGTCTTCTGCCGTGGATGTATACTCTCTCAGGCTGCTGCCAGTCTATCTCTTGATGTTACCTTCCCATTGATAACGCTATCTCTTGCTTGTTTCCTTTTAACTTTCTCTTCTAGTATAGTTTTTATGAGTGTGTGATGTCTTTTAATTAATATGGTTGAAATATTTATTTGTCCCTTTTATTTTCTTTAGTAACTCTTTTTACATTCCTAGTGCCTTAAAATCTCTGTATTTGACTGTTTTTGTTTGCATATCCACATCTCAAGAAACTCATTTCAATTTTCTAACTGTTGGCAGATTTACAATTCTGGAAATTACACAAGACCTCACCTTTCTTAATCTACCTCGGGTCCAGTACTTGGCACAAACATGAGGCTTCTCATCGATATCAGCGCTCCACAACAGCTCATTGTAAAATTCTACCAGTCCATCTTGCTGCTTCTCCTCATCATCAGGGTTTTGTGAGGCAGACATTGCTGCAGCAACAGGAGACAGCTTCTTCAACACCTCTACTGCGTACAGATGGATGTAAGACTGACCACACATCAACAGGCTTTTTATCACCTCAAGTACCTGCATAATAAAATAAAATCGGCATACTTTATTTTGAGTATCTCAATGGTCAGTCTTAGTCGGTAAGTTACAGTTACAACTTCCCAGCAAACCGGTCCACCACATGATTGATCCATTCCAGCGAAAGCCACACAGAATGACTACGATTGTATCCAGTGCACACACACACAAAAAACATTTAAAACCAGACAGCAGTCTTGACACAGCCAACAGTATACATGCACAATGAATGCATAAGGCAGTTGTTAAAAGTGCCAACACAAATGTCTGTCACTACAATTGCAGTTCATTATCAATGGAAGCAGAAGTTACAACAAATCAGCAGATGAATGTGCAACATTGCATAAGGCACCGTTAGTTCAATGGTAAAAGTCCACTTGCAATTTTCTGAACCAGTGAGTCTTAAAATTCACATGTGAAATAATTATTCCTTACCTGCACCAGACTGACAATGACTAAGCACACAGAGGCTGGCCACAAGTGGTGTTACATTGTTACAGGACGGCAATTTTTGCAGACCACTTTCCTTCCTAATTTAATACTATCTCCACACTAATACTTCTACCTTCAACATTTCCCCCAGTATAGCTTTTTTAACAGTTTTCCAACTTCTAATGTAACCTACCTATTTCAATAGTCTTCAAGCTATACTAAGTGAAGTAAAGGACCCTTTTCCGATATTGGGGAGCTGAAAGCCAGCGTAGATTCCGGAGAGAGCGTGGAACCATAAATATGATATTCGACGAGACGCAGCTTCAAGAAAAATGTCAGAAACAGCAAGGTGATTTTTTCACGGCTTTTATTAACCTGACCAAAGTGTTGGATCCAGTCAACAGAGAGGGTCTTTTGAAGATCATGGCAAAATATGGCTGCCCAAAGAAATTCATCACGATTGTGCAGCAGCTGCATGATGGAATGCCAGCTAGAATCCGGGATAATGGAGAACTATCCAAACCTTTCCATGTCACAAGGGTGTGTATTCACACCTACTCTATTTAGTATTATGTTATCAGCTGTGATTTTTCGATGTAAATAGAAAAGAGTGTGTGTAATGGCCTATTTTTCTGCAATTTTCTCTTTGAAAGTTTACTGAACATTCTGTGAGAACTAAGAGCACCCGAGTGCAAAACTAACCCAGAAACTTAAAACTTTGAAGTTTTGTTCTCAGATTTGGATATTCACTGCTCTTGTGGCTGCAAAACTATGGTAGGTGAAGAATTTGTTTGCAAAATTTTGTTGTGAAATTAACACCTGCTGAATTCTTCTTTTCTACTACATATAACAAAATTAAACATATACTTATCATCAGATTCAAAATGTACATTCATTTCTCTGTTAAAATGTTTACACTTTTATAGGGATTAGAAGTATATTACATTCTCTATTGCCTTTTTTGTACACCCACCCCTCTGCCATTTTTGTAAATGAAAATTAATGTAGGCCATGTCTATCAAAATGCATGGGCCTGAAAGAGTTAATGGCACAGTTGCTAGCACTATGCCGGCCGGGCTATGTGACCATGTATTGGAGTTCCATTTGTAGGTGAGATTCTTTAATTAACATCAGCTCCAGGTCAACGCAACCATAAATAATGGGAGCCTGGAAATTTGCAAGGTAGTAAAGGTGATCAATGGTGACCATATTAAACACCAAATGTCAAATGAAAGTAAGAGACCATAACCATACTTCCGATATGGCTTAGGGAGGGGGGGGAGTCTCTTGCTAACACAGCTTTTATCCAGTACAACATGACCAAGTGGCAATTAGGCTTCTCAATACAGACACACCTCATAAATCAATCCCCAATCCTGTGAAGTCTAATGCAGTAAAGCCAACTTCATTCCCATTACATCCAATGCAATGGTACTTGCTTATGTCTACACCATCTGCTGGCCAAATGATTTATCACATTTATACCAGATTTTGTTATGTTAGTAAAGAATTTTTGTTTTATGAATGTGATTTTCATGTTTGAATGCAAGCACAGAAGCATTTTAATATCTGATAGTCGACTTCTGTGGCTTGGGGGTTTTGAAAGCATTTTCATAAGTTTGACATGCCAGATTACATCCAGTCATCTGGCAGCCCCTATTGTCTTCTGTATTCAAATTTTAATAGCTCAGTCAGTTCCCCAGTTTGTAACACTGTCCATTCATGTCATGGCTGATGTAGGCTTTCTGGCCACAATGTTCACTTGTTTGTGACTGTGATAATGTTAAGCTGACCATTTCTACTTTTAATTTAGTTTTACACCTTTTCATGAGATCATTTATCTATACTGCTGAATATATACAGCTCTATGTCTTGGAGAAGATATCAACAACAACAAAACTGGATTATTGTCTGCTTTGTTTATTCCCTAACTTTCTTTCTCTGGTGGATTCTAAGACCTAACTGCTGTGATCCGTCTTTAAGTATGTTCAATTTATCTTGTTTCTGATTTCAGGAGTGAGAAAGGAGAGAAACATCAATCAAGTCCAGGTCATCAAGCTGCCTGTAGGAGTTTAAACTGCTAATGGCAGCTGTTACTGTCTTCATAATCATTTCATGGGTACACAGAATAAATAAATGCTGTAATCTTGGCAACCCCCGATTCTGCTGCTTTGTATAAAGCCAAGACATGTATGCCTACTACCACTAGAGAGGGAATCGCTGTAGCACAGCGGCTAGATGTGCAACACAACGGAACTGACCAATCAAATCTCTCCCTTACATGTGGTCTTATTTCAGACAGAGCATTACAGCCCACTGTGTATATAATTGTTGTGTTTGTTATTCAACCTATGCTTGGTTTATATGAATTTCTGCAAACTATGATGTTATTTTAAATGTCTGAGATAAACTATGTCCGTATTCTATAGCTGTGGGTTTAAGCCGTCTAACAGACACAGCTAAACTAAATACTTATTTCAGGGGTGTCTAGCTGATCTGGTGTCTTACTACACCTGCAGTGAAGCGCTGTCATCATTTAGAGGTGACAGGTTTGATTCCCCACATGGTAACCACGGCTCACCATTTTAATGTTTTCTAGTGTCCTTCTATGAGTTTTGATCAATATATGTCTATTTGATTATCATATTTAATGTCCACAGCTTTATTTTTGGTGTTACACAACGGTATGCAGTACCGGCAAATTTTTTAAAGCATTTCTTCTACCCTGTTGTGACACACACTTATGGTGAGTACCAGCACATTTTTACAGAAACTTTGAAAAGACCCATGTGTTGAGCACTGGCAACGTTTTCTAGGAAAAAAAAACAAATCCCTGTTAGTTACTAGATGTCTGCTTGCTGTCCTGAAGGTTTCGAGTTTGAAACCACATTGAGGCATATTTCTAACAAACAACTTTGGCTCCCAAGTAGACAGCCTAAACTGAGTCCCAGATAGTGTCCTGAGAAGTAAAGGAGACTAAACTGAGTCCCAGATAGTGTCATGAGAGGTAAAGGAGCCTAAACTGAGTCCCAGATAGTCTGCTGAGAAGTAAAGGAGCCTAAACTGAGTCCCAGATAGTGTCATGAGAAGTAAAGGAGCCAAAACTGAGTCCCAGATAGTGTCATGAGAAGTAAAGGAGCCAAAACTGAGTCCAAGATAGTGTCATGAGAAGTAAAGGAGCCAAAACTGAGTCCCTAATAGTGTCATGAGAAGTAAAGGAGCCTAAACTGAGTCCCAGATAGTGTCATGAGAAGTAAATTAGACTAAACTGAGTCCCAGATAGTGTCATGAGAAGTAAAAGAGACTAAACTGAGTCCCAGATAGTGTCATGAGAAGTAAAGAAGCCTAAACTGAGTCCCAGATAGTGTCATGAGAAGTAAAGGAGCCAAAACTGAGTCCCAGATAGTGTCATGAGAAGTAAAGGAGCCAAAACTGAGTCCAAGATAGTGTCATGAGAAGTAAAGGAGCCAAAACTGAGTCCAAGATAGTGTCATGAGAAGTAAAGGAGCCAAAACTGAGTCCCTAATAGTGTCATGAGAAGTAAAGGAGCCTAAACTGAGTCCCAGATAGTGTCCTGAGAGGTAAAGGAGCCTAAACTGAGTCCCAGATAGTGTCATGAGAAGTAAAGGAGCCAAAACTGAGTCCCAGATAGTGTCATGAGAAGTAAAGGAGCCAAAACTGAGTCCAAGATAGTGTCATGAGAAGTAAAGGAGCCAAAACTGAGTCCCTAATAGTGTCATGAGAAGTAAAGGAGCCTAAACTGAGTCCCAGATAGTGTCATGAGAAGTAAATTAGACTAAACTGAGTCCCAGATAGTGTCATGAGAAGTAAAAGAGACTAAACTGAGTCCCAGATAGTGTCATGAGAAGTAAAGAAGCCTAAACTGAGTCCCTAATAGTGTCATGAGAAGTAAAGGAGCCTAAACTGAGTCCCAGATAGTGTCATGAGAAGTAAATTAGACTAAACTGAGTCCCAGATAGTGTCATGAGAAGTAAAAGAGACTAAACTGAGTCCCAGATAGTGTCATGAGAAGTAAAGGAGCCTAAACTGAGTCCCTAATAGTGTCATGAGAAGTAAAGGAGCCAAAACTGAGTCCCTAATAGTGTCATGAGAAGTAAAGGAGCCAAAACTGAGTCCCTAATAGTGTCATGAGAAGTAAAGGAGCCAAAACTGAGTCCCTAATAGTGTCATGAGAAGTAAAGGAGCCTAAACTGAGTCCCAGATAGTGTCATGAGAAGTAAATTAGACTAAACTGAGTCCCAGATAGTGTCATGAGAAGTAAAAGAGACTAAACTGAGTCCCAGATAGTGTCATGAGAAGTAAAGGAGCCTAAACTGAGTCCCAGATAGTGTCATGAGAAGTAAAGAAGCCTAAACTGAGTCCCAGATAGTGTCCTGAGAGGTAAAGGAGCCTAAACTGAGTCCCAGATAGTGTCCTGAGAAGTAAAGGAGCCTAAACTGAGTCCCAGATAGTGTCCTGAGAAGTAAAGGAGCCTAAACTGAGTCCCAGATAGTGTCCTGAGAGGTAAAGGAGCCTAAACTGAGTCCCAGATAGTGTCCTGAGAGGTAAAGGAGCCTAAACTGAGTCCCAGATAGTGTCCTGGGAGGTAAAGGAGCCTAAACTGAGTCCCAGATAGTGTCATGAGAAGTAAAGGCACCAGGCACGATGCTGACCACATCACCCATTGAGCGGTGGTTGGTTCAAAAACATCTACTACCATATATCTGATGTGCCAGTGGCAGGAGAAATGCTCTTTACTTTGGCAATGGAGACCTTTTCTAAAGACCATTCTCAACAACATTCTTATAAATGGTTACATACATATACATACAGAAACAAAAGAAGCAACTCCATAGCTTATGAACCTGTCACTACGGTCTGTCTGCACAACTTTTTAGGGCGGTGTAGATAGGGACGCGTGGCTAGTGCTGACGCCATGGACTGTACAGGCTGGTATGTTTAATTCTGTCCCCGACAGAAATACTCCATCACTTTACTTGGTCTCCCACATCAGAGCCCAACGTTTTAACCGCTCAGCCAGCGGCTCCTCCTCCTCCTGTTTATTAACCACATGAAAAAAAGACCAGAATTAATTTTGAGGAAAGCTAATTTCAAGTCAAAAGAAAACAAAGATTTCTAGCTAGCTTGTGAAATGGCTTGGCCATCTGACAAGAATGCCCCATTACCAACTGCCATAGAGAGACAAACTGAAGAAATATAATAAACACAGAGCAAAATGAAATTGTACTCAAAAGATGGAACCATGGCATGAAGACAACCTTAAGTAAACGAAGACCAACTTTTATAATGTGTTAGAAAGAATACCTATGATCTGTTCATCTACTACCAACACTCTGCTGAGGCAGCTGGAGGATGAGGAGGAGAAGAGAAAGAGAAGAAGTTACTTACCATTTCAAACAAGTACAGCACTTTAGGTGAGCCCTGTTCCACAAGTCTATGGACAAGTTTGTCCAGGAAGTTGACACTCAGTAACCCTTTGGCAAACCTTGCCCTACAGACAGTCACTGTCACGTTAATGACTGTTAATGCCTGGATTGCTGCCTCCTCATTCTGTTGATTTACGCAGATAAATTATTATATTATTTACTTTCAAATGTAGTGTATAAAAATCCACAAAGACAAACAAACAAAACAAAAAAACATTTAAAAAAAAATAGCTGTTTGTCTTTTACAGGATGTTGCAGAATCAATCCCATCATTATTTGGCTGCTTGTGATTTCACTAGGCGATTTGATTCTTTCGTAATAAGTCACCCCAGATGACGTCACAGGAAGAGTCAAATATTTTATAGGATGGTAAGACTGGGTTTCCCGGCTTTGTGGTACTTTTAACTACCCGAAAACATCTATAACTGGACTTAACCCCAACCCACCTATGTCCCACGAGAGAGTTCAGCCTAGGTTCAACGACTGCATGTAGCCTATCTAGCACCCCCTGAAATATTGGACTATCTGTCTGGGGTGACTTATTAAGAATGCACCGACAATTTTAGGTTTAGTAGTTTGACACTGCTTCCTGCTCTTGATACCACAGCTGGGATTGCAGAATTATGAAGCATGCTCAAAATGCTAAGCCACAGACGCTAAAAGAAATAATACAAGCAAGAAAATAATGTTTTTCATCAAGTTCTTAATCCATTTATGCAAAAGTAATAATAATCTATTGTTAACATGAATTACCATTCTATTCAAAGAAAAGCTAACAATAATCTATTGTCATGAAAACAAACCGGCCAACAACTGCCATAATTCCTTTCTTGTAGTGAACAGTACTGTGTCCTCACTATATGAGATCATCTTCAAATGTACTGCCAGCTGGAACTGGCGTTTAGGTCTCTCGACATCTTGCAATCTCCAACAGCATGTATCGGTTCATTGGTTACATCTTTCAACATTATAACAAAAGGTTGTCAAGTATATTTCTCACTTTACTTCTTTCTCTTTTTCGATATATCTTTTGAGCTGTCACATCATGTTCCAGTGTTTCTCTTCGCATAAGGTGGCCAAGAAAATGACAATTGCCTGTTCCATTCTGACCTGACATCTATAATCCAAACTAGTAGACAAAGACAAGATAAGCTAGTCCAGGAAATAAAATACAATATCAGTAAACTGTTCAGAGAAAGACAAGATCTGTGCTGGACACCAACTGACTATATCTGCATTTCAAATAGTGGCCCCAGCACTTTAGCTGACATCTCACATTGTGCAAATGGCTTTGGGTCGAGGAGCCTAATCCTTGCCTGGTAGCTGGAACCCTAATATGGCAGGGCAGACTAGGCCCTTAGCCTTGCCCGATAGCTGGTCTAGGAGGGAAGTTCTTAAAGTAGTCAGAGTATCGCTCTTCTGATCCAGCAAATTTCTGCAGTGTGTTTTGGTCCAAATACACTGCTGTTATCTTCTCTTTAGAGTTGAGAAAGCGGGCCAAAAGAGGGATCATACTGCATGGGAAACACATAGTCTCTACAGTGTAGCCCAGACCTTGTGCCATGCAAGGGAAGACCTTCATCAGTGGACTAGTCTGGTCATAATGCTGGTCTTGCTAGTCACACTCACCATAACCATGGACTGTTGCTCCCATGATTCCCTATAGTACAGCAGAACACAATGCTTATCTGGAAAGATAGAAAAGTCCCAACGACTTCACAAACCAGAATTCTGCTGCCATCAGATGTCTCTGAGCTTGTCTACTGATTGCTCATTTTTCACATCCATATGTGTATAAATTCCTTCTTCTTCTTTTTAAAGTCCATGCCATGTGGTGTTGGTAGTCATATCTAGCAAACAACCTTTGTGTACTTTCAATCAACTCTGGCACAGATGATCCTCCATTCTATGATATCAAACTGTCCAGCATCTTTTCTCCTGGTCTCCCTCTGCCTCTCCTCCCCTCCAACTTTCCTACTGTCAATATGTACACCAGTTTTCTCCTTTTCCAAAGAATGCAAACTGTCTCTTTCTGATGTTCTCTTTATGAGTCAGTTTCTTTCAAGACAAACTTATTACTCTTTTTATCTGTCTAGGGTATTCTCATAATTCGTCTATAAAACCACATCTCCACAGCTTCCAAATAATTTTTCACCAATCTACCATCTGTCCATGATTCACTTCCATATATCAAGATAGGATTTACAGGTATAGGTTCCAGATAACATTTCTTTTTAATGCCGGCCCCTCTAGTGGCTGCCTTATGCATTTACTGTGTATACATGATGGTGCTTTGCCAGAACTGTAGTCTGTCCAACTTTTCGCATGGGACAGTGATAGGCACTGTGTGTGATTTTTATTGCCGCACGAACAGGTGACCTCTTTGGTGGGAAGCTGGAACTGCAGCTACAACTTTTTGTCTCACTGCAGCAGACATATATGCTATTCAATATACCTGATACGACCATGCATACACAAAAACACATAAAAATACATAGAAGGTGTTAAATAACAATTGCAAGCTGCACAGCTCTCTTACCGAGTCTTGATCCAGGGCCATGACTAGGATGGATGTGATGTTATTGACATAGACCAACAGCTTGAATATGATCTCCCTGTTGCACAAACAAAGTGCTAAAACAGACAAAGCATCAGACAAGTAGTCCCACTTGACACTGTCAGGTTTATCACACGTCACTGATAGCAGAATGTATATGTTGTGAATCTCTGTTTCGCCAACATACTGGGCCACCTGAGAAATGAATCAATGAGATTTTGGTATACATCTACAATAAAATCTGGAAACAACTTATACTATGTCCTACAGCATCTGCTTAAATCAAATTCTCTATCTGGTAACAACAAAATCATTATATACAATGCTGATAAACTCAAACGCCCTATATGGCTCTGAAACCTGGAGTACACACAAAAGAGATAAGGCTTTCTTACAAATTTCTAAGAACACAGTCCTGCTATGAATCTCTGGACATATTAAAAATGCAAACAGCTCAGAACGGTCAGTGAGATGCAACAACAATATTTATTATCTCTTTAAATTACTAGTAATTAATGGCACCATGAGGACTAACAGACTGCATGGTTAGTGTGGAGTTAAGTTGGAACTGACATCACAGCACTCAGGACATTCACATGCATGCTCCGTCCTCATCTTCAGCAGCTAGCGCAGAGTTCCAGTAGTGATGGTACTGGTCACAATCTGGTTAAATGTCCATCTTGCCTTTCCTCTGAGTGACGAAGAGCATACGAAGAAAACAACAGACTTAACAAGGAACTGCAAGCAACCAACAGAGTGATGGAAGAAAGAGAGAAAGCACGGAAAGAGGCAACAAGAAGGCAGCAAATACAGGGAGCCGAGACCCAGAAAAAGCCGCATCAAACACCAGATAAGAAAACTCAGGCATCGCTGATGAAACAGTTTCCGTTGGCAACAGTTGACCAAATTAACCAACGCATCATGGAGATGGAGGACCCGAACTTCTATAACTCAGAACTGCAGGATGATGATGTTTTTTGGTCATCAACAGAGGAACCACATCGACAGCCAAAATTTGAAGTCAAACGAGGTCGACACCGTTACCCCAAACACTAATACCAGATACGACACAACCAAGGCCAAATTACCGAAACCCTATGTAGGAGCAGTACTTTACAACAAGGATACGAGAAAATCACCAAATAATACCAGACCTCAGCAGTATAGCCATCAGTACCTGCCCAAGTCAATCGACCGCCGGTCCTTATTAGGATAGGCAATCTACTTTCCCCGGAAACAACAAACAGCCAAGGAATACCACAATAAATCGATCCAACATCCAATCATCTTGAGCGCAGCACAGGGCCAGCCAGATTACAAAAACAACAGCAAGAGCGGAAACCACAACAATCAGAAAGTGCCAATATTGAACACAATCCAGAATCAAATAAGACCGCGACCAGAAAACGTCACCACAAATATAGCTGAAAGGAAAGTGAGCAGAAATGTGAACGGACCTAGCTGAAAGTGGTCAAAGAAAGAGAATTTGAATTTCCTCTGAGTGTAGTCAGCCGGCCAGACCTTCTGTTTACACCCAGGTGCCTCATTCTCCCCAGGCCATAATAATCTTCTTTCTCTACTGATTCTGTTGCTTGTTCCCAAAGGGCCTTGACCACATCTATCTTGTCATGTATCAATTCACGAACCAGTGGTGCAGATCCAGCCAATCTGTCTGCCTGTTCATTACCCACTACGCCAAGCTGGCCTTAGAGATTCAAAGTATGCTCACTACCTATGACCTTTCCAGTGAAGCTTGCCATTCTGCTCGAAGCATCCCTGTCTTCAACTTTTTCAGCATGCTTTCAGAGTGTTACAATTACGACATGTGTATGCATCTTGTTCTCTAGCCACCGGAGAGCTGCAGTTACCGCCTCTACCTCCATTCTCATGCTAGATGTTGTGATGTCATATGCCAGGCTGTCTTGCACTAAATATTTTCAATTGGCTTTCACTACAAACCCACAGGCACTTCTCTTTCCTCTCAGAACCGAACCATCTGTATAGAAAATCAGATAACCTAGACGTGAATTAACTATTTGACTTCAACCTCTGTAGCACCCGCTGGCCACTCTTTGCACACTGAACCCAATGCGATCATAACCATACACAGGTCAGACTTTTCCTCTGGTACTCTGACCCACTCCTCTCCTCATGTTCTGCAGCATGAAATCTTGTCTTATTGTGTGTTCTGCTGGAGCCAGCCAAAGCTTCATACAGAGGGTGTTCCCTGTGCGCAGCTACCCTGAGGTATGACACAGCATGCACACAATTATGGTGTCTCTTGTACAACTCAAGAGCAGCCGCATAGCTTCATTCTGTATGCGCTCCAGTTTCTCTAGCTTCGAGACAGTGAGTAACCCCAATACATAATCAATCACTGAGATGATTAAGTGCTGGTTAAGTGTGAACAGCATTCTCTGCTCCATGTCCATCGCTGCCATAATCTTTAATGCACTAGAAACTTCCCAGGACATTTTATGGTACCCATATTCGGCTGGATTCTTCTTTTTTGCATTCTTCTTCACTTCCTTTTTTACCGCTGTGGGTATCGAGGGAGATATAAGGTTCTGTTTCTAGCTCTTCTGGCTGCCTCGACCATAGGCACACCGTGCTGTTGTAGAGTTTCTCTGATGTTATCCTTCCATCTTGTTCTTGGTCTACCCCATGCTCTACGTCCTTCTTCTCTTTCCATGTATGCTTTGTATGGTATGGTGTCACAAGGCATTCTCTCTAAGTGGGCAAACCATTTCACTTGCTGTCTTTGTATGTAATCCAGAATTGGCTCTGTGCCGACTTGTTCTCTTATGATCTCATTCCTGATCTTATCTCTTATGGTCACTCCTACAGCCCTTCTCAGACATCTCATTTCCGTGGCTACTAATTTTCTTTTATGGTTTGTTGTGAGTGACCATGTCTGGCACTGGTAGCACAGAGTTGGTATAAATATGCTTTGAATAAGATGTCTCTTTGTGCTGATTGGGATTGTCTTATGCTGTAAGAGGGGGGCTAGCTGTCCCAATACTTGGTTTGCTTTACTGCATCTAATGTCAATTTCTTTATCCAATTTCCCATCTTCGGTAAATGTAGTTCCCAGATATTTAAACTCAGATGCCTGTTTAATGCCTTTGTATTCTATTGCTATGTTTAGATCTGTCTTCTTTTTTCCTATTAACATGTCTTTTCAGTGTTGATTCTCATATTATTTGTTTTACATTCTTCATTCATGGATGTTAGATGTTGTTGCAATTTCATGGCTGTATCTGCTATCAAGGCCTGGTCATCTGCAAAGAGTAATTTGTTGATCTTACTAAGATCTTCATTCATGGGCTTGGCATTCTTGCATATACTGTCGATGTAGGTGATAAACAGAAGTGGTGATAAGACACACCCCTGTCTTACTCCAGATGTCACTGCGAAAGGATGAGATGTTCCCTGATTTATTCTAACTACACTTCTACAATCCGTGTATAAACTTTTGCACACTTCGATGAGGTGTTCGCTTACTCCATATCTTGCCATTATTTTCCATAATAATTGCCTGTCGACTCTGTCAAATGCCTTCTCCTGGTCTACGAATGCCACAAATAAGTTCTTATTGTATTCAATGTTCTTTTCTATTAACTGTTTAAGTGTGAAGATTGCATCTGTGCAGCTTCTATTTCTCCTAAATCCCATCTGTTCTTCTACCAGCTGTGGTTCTATCACTGGTCTCAGTCTTGTTTCTATTATCTTGGCATACATTTTGCCAACATGGCTTAAAAGAGAGATGCCTCGATATTGACCGCATTCTCGTTTGCTTCCTTTGTTCTTCCACAATGGTATAACTATTGCATGTTGCCAATCAATAGGGGCCGTTTGTTGTACCCATGCTGCCAACTACATGTGGAAGTTGTTTGAATGCTGTCTCTACTTTCTGTTGTAACTGTTCTTTTACTCCTTCCTGTTTCAGATTTGCTATCTTGATGAGATCCTTGTTTTTGTTTAATTTCTTTCTGTGTTTCTTTAATGTAAGATGTTTTGCTGTTAACACAACTATTTTATGGTCAGTGTCACATAGACCATTAGGGATTGCTCTTGAATCAAGAATTCTCCTTCTTCCTTGAACTCTGGTAAGTATAAAGTCAATCTGGCTCTTGATGGAGACATCATTCCATTTGTACTAAGTGTAAAGTTGTGAATCTCTATGGTCAAAGAATGTGTTCGTAATAAAAAGATTGTGCTGGCTGCATAGATCCATTATTTTTTGACCATTTCTATTTCTAGCACTGTTCTTAGCTGCATATGGACCTAAAAACTGTTTGTATTCTCTTCTGTTATTTCCTACCCTCCAGTTGAAGTCACCCAATACATATAGTATGCTGCTTCCCTCAACTTTCTTTATCTCATCAGACAGATCGTCAAAGAATTCATCTTTCTGCTCTTCTATCTGAGTTCACTGGCTGTAAACTCTGGTGGAAAGTTCTGGGTTCTGTCTACCTCCTGACTTTTGTCTTGTTCCAGAATCAGTGTTCTGTTTCACAGAACTGTTTATATGTATGCAGACTCTTAAACAGATAAACAATCAAAGGTAGTTCTATGCCGCTAAAATGTTGGACCTTCTCTTGGTGTCAACCACAACCTAAAGAGATAGGCTTTGCCGTCTTTCCTTTGCAGACATTTATCATTTAATATCCCCCCAAAATTTGTCAGTGATAATTTGATGAGCCTGGTTCAATCCCGATGCTGCATTGGTCAGAAATGAGATTGGTCACAGCCCACACTTGAAAGGGAACTACTGTTAGCAAGTTCTCTAACCAAAACTATCTATCAGAAACGCTTCAAGTCTATCTGAAGCAGTCCACTGTCCATTCTTTGAGAAATACTGCACGAAAGAATATGATCTGGTTTAAGTCTTAAACAGCAAACCTCATAATAATGGATGTCCTAGCAGAAAACTGGTTAATTCTTCTGCCCATATACCCCTCCTTGTCAGACCCACACTTAACTCCAAATTATGCATACATCTGTATAGGCTACTGTGTTGTTTTAATATTACTGCATGGTATTTTCTTCTCCTTCTACTTCTTCTCCTCTACATTCTTACCAAGACCTCTGTTTTAAATTTATAATTAAAGCAGCAGTCAGCTTCAGGATCAGGAAACACTTTTGTAATATATGCAAGACAATTTAATTTATTGCGCAAGAGAAAAACTGCAGCTCCTAAAAAAAAAAGGCAAGAAATAATTACAAAGTCAACTTTTTTCAGAAGCAATGAAAATGGACACAAAATTAGAATGTGATGAGTGTGAATTGGTTTAGAACAGGGCTGTTCAACTGAGTTTACTCAGGGGCCAGCATTCTGAAAATGGGGATCGTCAGGAGCTTCTGTTGCTGGCATAAGAAGATCATTAATAGAATACAACTAGCAATGATCCCCAGGCCACTTGCTAGGCCTCAGCACGTCAAATGTTTCAATGGGCAGGCATCTGAATAGCCCTGGGTTAGGACCTTTGCCCCATTCTGGGATAAAAAGCAGAAAAAGAATTATCTTATTGTGCTGTTTCCACAATTTGAGTTGGGTGCAATGTGTCTACTGCTAAATTATGGGAATATTACGTGGTGAGGATTCAATCTCTTCCTCAGTCTGACTCTCATACCACTGCCTGTAAAACCACAAGAATTATTTTTTTGTCTAAAATGCCCACCACAAAAACGAACCCTGAAAAATGTTGGGATTGGGTAATAAAACCATTTAATTAATTAAAAAGCTACAGAGCTACACACACAACAACGACAAACATTTTAAACAACAAAAAGAAAAGCTTACTCTCCAGTAGTCATGCAGCAGGTCTGTTTTACCATCCTGCCTCCAAGTCTCCAGTTTTCCCAGCAATATCTTGAGACCCTGATGGTCCCCACACTGCAATGCCCGCTTGATCCCTCGCACCATCTCACAGACTGGACTCCCACACATCACCTCTGGCATCTCCAAGCTATCTCTGGTCGAATCACCAGCATCGCCGATATTTTTAACGTCGCCACTTTTATTTTCTGACATTCTAAATCATATCTGATCCTGTAAACAGGAAAGATATACAATATGAGTAGTCGGATTGCTTTGCGTTGCCGTACTTTAAATATTGTTTCTGGCTTGAACTCTGAAAACTTGGACTCTTGAAATCCTCTAAACACTGAATACAGCACAGAGAAGTCAATCAGTTAAAACACCCATTTAAAACCAGAACATTGCGCTAAACAAAATTGCTTGATTTTTGGATAAGTGCGAGATGTCATCGAATAATACATTATTATTATTATAGTAGTTACACTGCAAAACCAGAACGAAGTTGTTGCCTCTATAGTGAATTTTTGTCACTTTCAAAATGTACAAATAATTAAATAAAACAGTAAACGAGAATATACCACATTATTAAAAGAAAATACCACGTTTGCTAATGAGGCAAAGTACAATTATTCCTGCCGTTGCTTTGAATGCCAGTGCATCGTTGAACCTGAATAATACACAATTAAAACGAGAATATAAAACACTAAAACAACTACTTCCTCTGCTTGTTAATGATGTAAGATCAAATCAATCAATTATTCCCGCAGTCCTATCTAATGAATGCCACTGCATTACTGAAATATATTATTATCTCTCAAACAAGCGTGCTTTAATTGATTGTCTGGCTCAACTTGTCCATGTTTTCAAGGTAACCACCGAATCAGAAAAGATCAACTCACTTCACAATCTCATGTAAAACCCGCTTGCGAAGTTAGCAGGTAAGCTTCAAGGTTGTATTCTGACACACTCTATCACAACAACCGCTGTTTCCCAGGTAACAATTTGAAAAACGAAGCCTGTTCGGAGCTGACCCTTGTAGAAATATCTCACCGCCTTGACGGTTTGAAACAGGAAGCGGTTGTTGGGGGAGAAAACAGGTGTGTGCCAGGTAGTGTGTGGGGCGGCAAGTCAAACAACAGCTTGGTGTACAAGGTGTGGTGGCTACCTTGTGTGTGTGTGTGGGGGGGGGGGGCTGGCAGGCAGGTAGTTGTTGTTGCATGTACCTGTTCTGTTTACAAGTTAGTCATAAATTTACGTCTTCGCTGCAATGTGTTCGCATGCGTGGGTGCAGGTTTAAACGCGTACACACACACACACACACACACACACGCATATATATATATATTAAGTTTTTCTTCGCCTCCACCAGCTGTAAACTCTGGCGGAAAGTTCTGGTTGTTTGTCCACTTCTGGACTGCAGTTCTGTTCCAGAACTTGAGTGTTGGGTGTGCATCCGTTTGACAGATCTGACTAATTTGTATCCGGAGACGGTCGTCTTCTAGCTCTATATACCCGATACGCTTTAATCTCTCTCTCTCTCTCTCTCTCTCTCTCTCTCTCTCTCTCTCTCTCTCTCTCTCTTGATGTGGTGGGGTGGGTGTGAGGTAGAGGGCTTTAGTATATGAGTGTGTGGTTCCTCCTCCTCCTCTACAATCGTGCCACGATCCCTTCGTTAAAGTACCCAATGAAAACAGTAGTTAGTTTAACATTGAGGACACATATCTGTAACTATACCTTCATGCGATTGTATGCCTTTCTAGTTTAGTATATTCAGGAGCGCCGACACAAACAAAATACAAAGCAGCTTCATCCACTCCGCCCCTTCCGCCTTCAAGGAAGTGACCTCAAGGGGCCCGCTCCTGATATAACAGCATAATGATTTCATAATAATAATAATAATTCCCCGCCTGGGTTCCTATTCTGGGGATAAATTGACAGACCTACAGCTCCCTGACAAGCATGCTGTCAGAGATGACTAACAGTGGGGGGTTTTTTTTTCGAGATCGGAGTGCATCCACCTGAGAGGCAAGGAGCCGAAAGCCTGCATTCAGTAAGCCAGATCTGTAAAACTGTTGCACACACGTTAAACTCAGGTCCTCGAACGAAGCCAAAGTCTAGAAATGCACGAACAACCAAGACGTTCTGCTGGAGTTTACAGGCGGGGAGCGCAAACAAACAAACAACAAATAATAACAATAATAATAATAATAACATCCATAACATCAATCTGCTGCATGATAAAGGAATACCATAACATATTTGAAATAACATAAAACTTATAAACACTTTCTTTTAAAGAGAATTGTTCCACATACTAATAGGTTGCTGCTTATCCTTCTATACAAAATTATGGAAAGGGGGGGGGGGGGGGGGGGGGGGGGGGTAATCAAGCAGCCTGAACCTATAGTGGCGCCCCTGAGTGTGTTTTATGCGCCTAAGGGCCCGGGCATCCGACTTTAGCCAACATGTAACCAACATCTCTACCTTTCCATTATAATTTTGTAGCTGTCCCCGAAAGGCGTATAGGGTTGAATACCGTATTTGCTGTTTAAAATACTGTCGACAATAGGGCTCTTCAACCTGTTCACGCCTAAGGACCTGGCAGAAATGAGAACAGTTTTTTTTTTTTTTTTGCGGGCCGGTTGACAGCTAACACAGAGACAAAAATAAATTCAGGTAAAATAAATAAATAAATATGGTGTCACTGAAAAGGAGGTTATCTGCGGTACATCTACTGCTGAGTGTGGGACAGTTACGTTGTAAGGCCTCAGTCTCTTCTACGGTGGAACTTTCATACTATTGCTTAAGACCCGCAAGAACCGTGATTTCCTAAATAGCGGGTCGTAGGTTTGAACCCCGGTACGTCGAAGATTAGACTGTGGAATGATTTCGCTAACATCTAAGCCACAGAGCCGTGCTAAATGTAGATAACGTGCCCCGCCCCCACCCCCCTTTTTTGAATTCAGTCCAGTGAAATAACTGCAGTGTTTAACTACTAAGATATTTTCTGCTTCTCAGATATTAGCAAATCTTATATAGGCGGGGATAACATCTAATCGAGTCCTCCGTGTGCCTGCCTGCGTAATTTTAATTGTGTGTGGTGTGTGGGCGCGCGCGCGCGCGTGAGTGTGTGTGTGTGTTTAAAATTAAAAACATGGCATACACTTCCGGCACCACATTGTCGTCCATTTGTCACAGGGTTGCCATATTGGCATTTTGGATGCCAGATACCACAAATTTGGCATGTTTTAAATTGAACTCTCATAAGATAACGAAATGGCATATTGTGGCATATGTGGGTTTTTCCTGACTTTTCTTATCAAGATGTGCTTACATTTCTTCATGATTCCCCCGTTAAAAACACGCATATTTACTAAAAGCAATGCCGACCTACAGTTAACATCTTTATTTCAGTTTGACTTTGTTGTGATGTACTGGAACCGACTGCCGGAGATTATTGCCATTTCTTTTTGTGCTTGTTGTCTTTATAAACGGATCGTGACTTCGATAAAACAAGGCCCTCTGTAATTTACGTTAATCTACTAGAATAAACTCAGGATATAAAACCAAAACCCACCCCTGATACCAAATGATTCAGTAAAAAGTAAAAGTAAAGATCCATTTTCACGCCTTAGGCGCATCGGGTAAATGGGAAGAGCGTCCCATATTTTTACAGACCAATCAGCACTGGATGGGTAATGTGGTCAGCATTACGCCAGCCGTCTTTACTTTCCCAGGACAGCCATCCTGGTACCCATTTTAGGATGGGTCGACCTGCGACGCCCCATACCATGATAAAACTTCACGCAGCCATCAGTGGGTTTCGATCGCGGTACGTTTGATTACGAGTAGGACTCTCAACGCCTAAGCCACGGACGCCGCTCAAGTGATTCAGACTGTTCAGAAACTACTTGAGGACATAAAATAGAGAGGATATAGACCTAGTTTATCTGTGAAAGATTTTATTACTGTTGCCATTGGCTACGTCATCCCCCCCACCCCTCCCCCAAATGGAAAGCATCATATGACATCGCAAGTATAATAGTAACTGGAAGAAAACATACTCTTGGCTCAAAAGATCTTAAGACGGATCAGAGGCAGCATATTGTAAACTGTGTCAGTGCACTGTTGCATCAAGAATTAGTACCATTTCGAATCATGAAAAATCCGAAAAACACAGAATGAAAACTCCGTCAAAAAACCAGTCACAGCTTACTACAACAATGACTCCTAGGCAAAGTAATGATAAAGTTAAAGGCAGCAGAGTTGCAACTTGCTGTAGGCATGACCTGCCATTGTGCAATACGCACAATTTATCACCTAAGTGAAATCACGAGAGCCCATGGCCAGGGGAGTACATTGGAGCACATACAGTTGCATATAACTAAATGTTCATGCCTAATACAAATTTGTATATCGCCTACACTTAAGGATGATCTTATTGATAATTTTTGGAACAAGAAATATGCATCATTATAGATGAGTTGCAAAGGCTCCACAGCATCTTAGAAAATGCTTAAAAATTTTACATCAGAAAGGGTTTACGCGGTGTTTTCCACTTGTCCAGTGAGGATGACAGTGAAGAATTCAATCTAGAGCTTTTGATGTGAAGTGAGTACAATGTTACATTTTATTTAGCATTTTCTGGCATATTTTGGGTAATGGTTTGGCATAAAATGAAGGTGTTTTTTTTTTAAATCTGGCAGCCCTGTGTCTATATGTTAGTTTCTCAGCATGTCTCTTGTGATAATGTTTAATATTTGTAGGTTTAAACTGCTCTTCCTTCATTTTGTTTCTGTGTTTGCTAGAGCACCATCTTATCTCCCAGTGTCGCTAATCAGTGCAAACGGCATAATGAACACATTTTATCAGAGTCGATTCAGTTGTCATTTTCCTAATTTTATTTTGCAAAATAATTTTTTTTTAAAGTATTTTACATATAAAGATTTATAGGCCTTCACTTTTTAACACACCTCCGTCTCCCTCCAAAACGAAAGATGACATTAGTAGCTAAGGCAGAATGACATTTCTTTAAAACAAACACTCGCTCAACCTACTTTTCTAGCATTGGTTATAATTAGGATTTTGGTATTTTGGGTTGCATATATTTGTTCTGTCTTTGTTGTTTGTCATTCCTCCCTTATTGTTCCTTCTGCTTCCTTTGTCTATGGAAGTTCGTGTGGATGAAGTAATATTTTTTTACACGTTTTCTT